TGAGCGCATACTCCGATATTTTATATCGTCGCATCAAATTGATAACGGAATTCCTGCTTTGCTTGTGATCTCGTACGAGAATAAATTTTGATTCATGTTTACAAGGTTGCGCGCTTTCCCACCACGTTGTCAAGCGATATCAAAATGACTCGGATATCGATAAGTTATGCTAATTTTATTACTAACGTTACAGAGTACGTGTGTGATATATACGTGTTTTTCTATCGCAAATTGAGATAAGCTACGTTACCACTTGTTACGCTCCGTCAAGCAATGTAACGTAATTAATGCCAATTAGAAAAATTAATATTTATCGCGCGGCCGCGAAAAGAATCGCATATTTGCTGGTGACCGGTCGGTTGCATTTGATAAAAGATTAATCCGTTCAACGCGTTGCTCTACAATGTATCTAAGTAAATATGCATTTATATATCTTATCTACATTTATTATCTATATTTTAATTAATTTTTTTAATTTTTATTTATTTTAATCTACATTTATATTTATCAAAAAATGTGTAATTTCTATTGAAAATAAATGAAAAAATTTAATGTGTTCCTTCATTTGATAAACGCGATTATAAATTATGATTTCTGAGTTCTTTCTCTCTCTAAAATATCCCTCTCCAATAAATGATTTCGTTAAAGAATTATGAAAGAAATAGAATTAATATTGAAAAATCGATCCTTGTCACAAATTTGAGAAATTCTACAAATATATATGTATGGAATTATATGTACGTGTGGAATTTTATATGACATTAGGAATTTGTAAACAAAGTTGCAAGAAGCACGAGAGTCTACACGTCATTATCTAATTAAATATGACTATATATTGGTAGTTATTCCTGTACTGGAATTTTCATACGGGTTTTCCTTACCCTCGATAAATTAGTATGCTACAAAACTTCAGTAGTCAGTATCAGATACTGATTTTATAGCAGTGAACTTGAATTACTATGCCGTCACGATACTATGTAGTAATTCCAACTGGTTTTATCGCTAATAATATAATTTAATGCTCTCGCGATTTTTTTCAATTTTGCCATATCGATCAAACATCACATGTGCAACGATATACGATGATATCTGTTTTTCTTCTTTTTTTTGTAGATACCATTACGAGTTTAATGAACTAAATTCCAAGTTAAAAATTATATTTACATTTATTTGTTGAAAAAAGAGATGGAGGCGTAGCTTCTTTTTCTTTCCCTTTTTTAAATCTTGTAACATAATTTTATACGTAGATATACGATAAAATATAACAGATTATAATTAATTTTATAATTTTATTTTATAATTAATTAAGAATATTAATTCAAATTTCAAACACCTTATTTCGAAACGAGAACATTTCAGATTCGGATCAAATCTATCTTCTTTCAGTGAAAAAAATAAAATCAATAGAATCGAAAATTAACAATAAACAGTACAATCACCTTTTTTCGATTAATCTCGAGTTCGATTCGATCGATCATTACCCACTTCGTCACACTGTAAAAAAAATATGTAAAATTACATTAAAAATATGTAAAATTACATAAATAATAAATGTAAAATTACATGATAAATAATGAAAAGGCCAACATTTCTATTATTTATCATGTAATTTTACACTTATTATTTAGGTAATTTTACATATTTTTTTACAGTGCACCGCAGCAATTTAACGCGATCGCACGCATGCCACGCGTCGATCCGCATATGCAAATGTACGCACACATACACACGAGAGCTTTGGACCCGCCTACACGGGGTTCGTTTGTGACCGCGATGGCCGCTGTCGGTATCTTTGATTCCACGCTCGGAACCAAGAGCCGAAGGTGGAGACGCGTCTGCGCGTCTTCGTGTTCCTCTCTCTTCCTGCGGCGGTGCCTTTATTCGCCGGACTTTATTCCGCGACTCTCTCTCTCACTCCGACATGTAAACTATCATTCGATCCCCACCTCACGGCATGTTTCTCATTCCCTCTCTCTTTTCAGACCTGCGCTCTTCTTTGTTCTCTTTCGTCTCTCTCTCTTGTCGGTTTTCTTTTTCTCCCCACCCCCACGTACGGTTTAATTATGTGTCCTAATTTTAATTAATAGAGAGAAATTGACTCTAGATATTATATCGTGATAAAAAATATTTTAAAAATGCGAGAGACTTTCTATAAATATGTTTTGAATTTATATAAACTTTTAATATTTTTCTACACATAATTTATAAATTAAATGTATAAATAATTTAGAAATTTGTCAATAAAATTTACGAAAATTAGAAAGAATTGTTTGATAACAATAGATTGGAACTAATGAGAAAGTATGTTTCCTGCGGAAATCGTAAGATCTTTTTCCCTTCCTTCTTTCGCGCATGCAAATGCATCTCTCGGTGCACTTTTCTCGTACGAGCGATCATAAATTACTTATCCTCCGTTCCCTTTGGAGTTGCTTTGTCAAATTTATTGCGAAGGGTCGCAACTCGTGAAAGTACGGCGGTACTTTAATCCTTTCCTTGGAGAACGCGAGACAATGGACCGACCGTGGGTGGCAAGGCGTATGAAAATTTGATATCTATTATCCTATCGTTATCTCACACCTAGGGATGCTTATATTTCAGGTATCGATATTCTCACTCATTTGATATCAAAACGTCACGAGTATCAAAGTTATGTATCGATATAATTTATACGAAATATTAAATATAATTATTATGAATAATAATTGTTATTATTGAGATAGAAAAATCACTTTCGAAGAAAGTATCAATAAATCATGTCTAATTAAAACGTGAGACTAATGAAAAATTAATAAAAAATGTTGAAAACAAAAAGAGAGTTTATTCATTCGATATTAAAATGAGTATCGTTATTATGTATCAATTATAATTTATATTAAGTATTATTGCATAATAATTGTTATTATTCAGATAAAAAAATGATGTATTTCTTTCCGAAAAAAAGATTAAATAATTCATGACTTTGTCGAAAAACGTAAGATAATTGATATGTAAGCGTTTACGAGTCAAAATTTTGCTCCTATACACTGTAAAAAAATATGTAATATATTACACAAAAATATGTAAAATTACATAAAAAATAATAAGTGTAAAATTACACAATAAATAATAGAAATCTTTACCTTTTCATTATTTATCATGTAATTTTACATTTATTATTTATGTAATTTTACATATTTTTGTGTAATATATTACATATTTTTTTACAGTGTACTCTCAATGTCTATTTTTTCACGTCAGTGAAAAAAGACGGAAGTGAAAGAAAAACAATAAAATTGTGAACGCGTTTGTCTCGTATTTTATGTTAAGCGGTAATGTGCATCCGCTTTCTTTAAGTTTCGCGACGCAAGTACGTTCCATGCATCGTACACCAAATGGAATGCATAGATACGATGCGGATATTCTTAAAGAAAGGACGCGTGTCCTGACAATGAGACTCGTGGGCGGCACAAGACTCGTGCACCGAAATGGTCTCGGTGTGCGAAGGGAGATAACGATATGTATCGGGTGCCATTTTCGTTTCTAACAATATCGCGAGATAAATTCTCGACTCGCCCCGCTTGAATAGCACTAATAGTAAAATATCATCGTTAAATCCATATTGCGTCATAAAATCGCGCGAGCTTAACAGGCGCGCGTGGATGGAAATTATCTCTCAGCTGTAATTGTCAATTATCGCAAGCAATGCACTTACCGTATATATACTCGCTTAATCATCTCGATGTTATTTGCAATAATATGAGAATTGAGACAAAAACTTACCTTTATATGTCTATAATTCAATTTAACTTTTATAATATATATTTTTTCTATTTATTAATTTTATCATATTTTCTATTTTTTTATATTATTATATATTTTTAAAAAATTTTAATTAATTTAATTTAATGTAAATATTTTTCTTTCTTATGAGCAAATAGGAAATATGAGTATATACTTGTTTAAATTTCAAAACTGTTGCAATTTTAAAGATCCTTATTGAAATCATTCAGAACAAAGAATGTATCTGTCAAAATAATTAATTTATATATCAAAACACATGCGTCGATATCGACGTATAAATATAGCGAAAGATATTTCGCACGTCGCATATAGACGGAGCTTAATATATTTTCGGTCAACACTCTCGTTGACATCGCAACATAAAAGCTGCATACTTTGAAGTTTGAAAAACTCTTACTCGAATAAGCCGAAGGACTTCTAGTTCTTTTTCCGCGGCCACGAAATCGTTCAGGCAAGACAAGAGAAAGAGTCTCCGTCGGCGACCATGACGAGATTCGATTTTTTCACGAGCATCCTTGGTCTCATGGGCGACCCAAGTTGGCTCGTCGGACATGACACTCCGACGAGATCTGAATGTGTTTATCGGCCAAAGGGACCATTAACATTATCTGCCGCGCGGAATGTATTATTACTGTTTCCATATTATTATCCCCGTTTTTGTAACGATATATCTTTCCGCGGTAGCGAAATAAGATTGTAACCCTTTACAGCGTTCATTTTCATGTCGCATCGTCGCCGACTGAGAAAATAATAACTTAAAATCAAGGACAATGTCTTGCATTGCATTTTCAATTGTACGTAATTTGTATATGAAGAGTGAAGAAAATCCTCTCTTTGAGCAAAAATAAAAAATGTGAAAAAACATTACAAAAATAATATTATTATTTGTATATAAACTGCAGTCTTCAAACAATGACTGTAATGTTTCATTTTATTCAAAAAGAAATCTTTATTATTTTCAAATTATGCTTAACTGGAATTTTGATCCACGATATCTCGAAAATTAGACGCCGTTAACGCAATAAATTTATTTGCAAATAATGATATGCTTTTAAAAAAACTTTCAAAAATAACACCTTATTTAATTCAAAATTTTCTTGCTGAAAAAAGGATTTTTCAAGATTATTTTGGACGTCACTCTTAATTGTGCGATTCTGAGGAAAAACTTTTAATATAACTTCACTTTTTCACTTACCTTTCGACGTTTTCGATCTTGACAGATGTTGCGGTAGCTCTCGGTGGGAAAGAGGATGTTCCACGGGGGCGGAAGTAGCGGGTACGGCGCAAGTTCCGATTACCAGCAGTCCCAGCAGCAACAGCAACAACAGCACGGTCAACAACTCCAGGCGCCGGTCTACGTTCCCTCGTCGAGGCCGGCACTTCCGTCCGCAGCCACGGCGGCGCAATATCATTCCTTCTCCACTTCACCCTCGCCTGCATGGTAAAAATACACATCGATTTTTTATCGTAAAAAATCTCAAATCTCTAAAACCAATAATAATTATAACATTTCGATTAGAATAAGGATTATACATGTTCTAGCTTAGTTAGAGTTGCTGGTGTTCTAATGTAATGTTGTTGCAACGTATTGTATTTTATTTTGCTTCATTTGATTTAATCTATTTTTATTTTATTTTTAATTTTAATTTAATTGATCTGAATTTATTGTAATATATAATAAAAGTGCACAGAGAGAATTTTCTCTTAGAATTTACCCTGAAAATCACATGGTATTGGAAGAGTTTTATGAGTTTCTCTGATTAATATTTACCAGTATACTTATCAAAAAATATTAGGTAATATCTACCACAATATAAGATAAAAAATATGTTCGATTAATTTTACTATGTACATATTAATATTTATATTATAAAATTCTTCCAATACCATATATTGTCCCACGATTGCCATGATATTTTCAGGATAAATTTCAAGAGAAAATTCTCTTCACGTGCTATATATTGTATAATAAAATGTAATAAGGTAAAAAAATGTAAAATATAAAAACGCGGAAGTTTAAGGGCAAGAGAATTAAATGAATGAAACAAATTTTCCCGAAGGGAGAAGACGGCGTCCTGGCAGCACGGAGTGGAGACATACGCGGCGCATCACGCGCTCGCCGGCCACGCGAGCGGAACCGCGGCGACGATGGGCCCGCACGCCGGTCCGGGTCATCCGCACGCGGGTCACCCGCATGCAGCGCATCCGCATTCAACCCTCGCCGCGGCCGCGCCCTTCTACGCGCAGAACGTCGCGATGATGTCCTCGTGGCGCGCCTACGACGGCGCCGGCTTCCAGCGCGCCTCGCCTTACGGTTCGTACGCAGTATCCCAGTTTGCAAAAGTTGTCGAGATATTATAAATATATTCTTACGCAAACTCTTCTACGCAAACGCATATTTTCACTTGTCACTTTACATCGCAAATTACTGTAAAATCGTGACATAAAAGAGGAATGTCACTTGGCCTTCGATATATAAGATATGGCAATCATATTTTCAAGAAGCAAAGTTAATATTTTATATACTATATAATTATATATTTTTATTATCATATATTATAATAATATATAATTCAAATAAGACATAATATAATAACAATATAATATCATTATAGTATTTTATAGAAAAAAAATTCTATAAAATAACATTCTGACTGAAAATATATATATGTGATATACTGCTCTCTCTCTGATATGGTTGAATTAAATATACTATTTAACCGTGCTTCTTGAAAATATTTATGTAATGTAAAAGAATATTGCTGATGCGACTGAATTACATGAACCCTTCCGCCGTGTGAAAACGTATATATCGCTCTTCGTTGGCGTGCATCACGCGTAAAGTCCTCGATGATAAACAAAAAGTTATGCGAACTGCCCGTATGCCGTGGCGATAAGATATACATAGGCATGCAATTTCCTATGGCACGACGACGATTAGTTTATCGAAAACCGCAACACATACGATATCGTGAACACGCGCGAGATGGTATTTTCTGTGGAATTTGCAAAGGAACTATTTCTATTATATATGTATATATATATCTGGCGCGATTTGAATTAAAATATCCCTTTCTCTTTCTCTCTGACCGAATTATTTTTTCCTATTTACGAGATAAATTCCCATTCTAATTATAAATCTCATTTTAATTGCGTGAGATATATTTAAATACTGAAATAAATCAAATTAACGCGTGCGCGTATAAAGAGATGCTGTGTGCGATTATAACACCGACTTCGTGATAGCACCGTTTTACGAAACGTAGTGAGGAGAGAGCGCTGGAGAGAAAGAAACTACTTTTCTCGCGGATGCTGCTGCTCTCGCCACCACGCCGGGCCATGTGGGATGGATAAGTGATAGCGGCGTCTTTGAACTAAGTCGGGTCGATCCCGCGGTCAAGTGTTTTACAGTAGTGACGGATAGAGAGGAGAGGATAGGGAAATCGGTTCAGAGAGCGCGCGGATGCTTTCTCTGAAGAGAAGTACGAGAATCGCGGTCCGTCGCACTCTCTGCTCCGTCTAACTTTAAATCCCACATCCTCGAGACCAGATAAAAGACGCAAGAGAGCCGTCTTATCCTGTCAGCTCGACGCGCCGCAAAGACGATCCCTCCGATTTACGATATTAGAATAAAAAGTAAAGTGGTAGAGAGAGAGAGAGAGTTAACGTCATCCCATTAAATTTTTTTTTCGCAATTTTGATGCTCTTAAACTTCTTTTAATGTACAAAAGCTTTTAATTTCGAATAAAGTTTTCAGAGTCGGAGCTTGATATAAAAGGAAAACCAGATCAATCAGACTTGACTGCAGTTAAGATTTTAAATTGTACAATAATTAAATGGGGGTGTAAAGTCGATTAATGGTGCTATCATTTAACATAGATCTGCATGATTTTACAGTCTAGAAAAGAAGAATTTAATTTCATATAATTTTTGTGCGTTGATTAAAAATTTGCAAGTCAAAATGGCCTATATCATGTTAGATTTTCCAGAAAACTGTGATTGCACAAAAAACTGTAGGAAATAATTTTTTTCCAAATCGCAATAAAAAAATAAAATTATGCAGGCTTGTGTAATCGATTGAAAATGATTACAGACACCGCAATGGATTTTCAATTCGGCGAGGGTCGCGAATGCGTGAATTGCGGGGCGATATCGACGCCGCTCTGGCGAAGGGATGGCACTGGTCATTATCTTTGCAACGCATGCGGACTTTATCATAAGATGAACGGCATGAACAGGCCGCTCATCAAGCCTTCAAAACGCCTGGTAAGTTCATCCATATAAATGATCATATGAAATTTCATCAATAAATATGCCTACTTTTGTCGAGAGAGCTATTTTTTACGCCGAAAAAATGATGTATATATATATATATATATATATATATATATATAGAATGTCCGCGAAGAACCCAACCAAATTTTTTAAATATATTAAATTAAAATTATATAATTGTTTATACGGTTAATTATGTAATATTGAAACAATTATATATATTGGCGCATCCTCTCTTATGTATTAATAGGATGCAATTGAAAAAAAAAGATCTAGGTCAAATTCTTCTTAAGGATACTTTGTTTAATAAATAACGAACATACCTTGAGCAGCATCGGCAAGTGCGTTACAAAATGGGACAGATGTCGGAATTTCAGACTGCGACGAGGCGACTCGGGCTGTGCTGCACAAACTGCGGCACTCGCACCACCACGTTGTGGAGGCGCAACAACGAGGGCGAGCCGGTGTGTAATGCCTGCGGCCTGTACTTCAAATTACACGGGGTCAATAGGCCGCTGGCCATGCGAAAGGACGGTATCCAGACGAGGAAGAGGAAGCCGAAGAAGACCCCGGAGTCGAATACCAGATCGTCTACGGGGGACCACGAAACCGCCACTTCGACCACATCCTCTCCTTCCACAGGTAGATGTTGCATTTTTTTCTCTGTAACAGAAAGATATATAAAATATTAAAAATTTCAAAATATAGAGATAAATATATCTAATTTTTTAAATATATTAATATATATTAACATTTATTTAATATATATGTATTTTATATATTTTTTAAATAAGAATAGTTTTTATTATATATAATTCACATAACTCATTTTCAGAAACTTGCCTACTAATATTAAATTAAAATTATTGCACGCCAATAAAATTAATTATTAATAAATATAAGAATAATTAATAAAATTAATTCTTACATTTGTTAATAGTTAATTGTATTAATTTTATTGATGGATAATAATTTTAATATTAGCAGGCAAGTTTCTGAAAATAAAGTGAATTACATAACTAAAAGTATTAATTAAATTAATTATTGTTATATTTATTGGATGTTATAAATAATATGGTCGTTATCAATTTGATTCGCCTTAACATTTATCACAATTTATTTACGCAACGTTGCGACCATTTCTCTACAGACTTAAAGAGCAATCAGCAACAGCAGCAACAACATCAGATCGAGGCGTCAAAGTCGTCGGGCTCGTCGACATCGACCGACAGACCCGTTTACCTTGGTCATACCTCTCTTCTCGCCACCGGAAGTGTACCTGCTGTGAAAACGGAACCGCGAAGCTGCGACGGCGTCGTCGGCCAGCCGTATTCATCTTACTATCAGCATCCGCATCAACTCGCCGCCACGAGCGAGCATCAGCAGCAGAGCTACTACGCCACCCAGGAGACGCCCTATCATCATCAGCATCACGTCACCAATGCGGCGAAATTACTCGCGTCCTCGTAATTGTTTAACGATCGAAGTCCGTTCGCTAGAATCGCCTCGGCAAATCAATTTCGAACGTATTGAGCGACTGAAAAGAAGAAGACTTTTCCGCAACACGAACTAGCCAAGTATTCACTGAGAAACTTACGTCACGAATCACGAAGTTTGTGACAGTGAATCTAAGAATTGAAGATTGATCTGACTTGAACTAATCTATTGGAAGAGAGAATGACAAAGTTAACTGGAAGGATTCTTTTACGCAGGACTAGTCAGTCAGTGACGGACGTGCAAGTTGTTTTGAAATTAGAAAAATCAGTGATAGAATTTTAAACATTATGAACGCAGAAGGATATTTCTCGAAAAAGTATACATATATAAGTGTAAAAATATATATGTTGTAGAAAAAGTATGTGTAATTTGCGATTAGCATAGCTACATATTTTTTTTAAACAACTGTATATGTTTTCTTTACAATTGATTTTTCTTATTGTGTTTATTTTCTAGAAACCCTGTCATTTTGAGATTGACTGTCACTTTTAAAAAATGAGACACATTGTATATATATAACTTTTCGAGAGAGTCATTACATTATTATACAGAAATCTACGCGGATGCTTTGATGTCCGATGGAACAATTCGAGGAGAGCTGAAATATCATCGATGCGCCTCAAAGATTTCGATTTTAAGCGTGTCATTAACAGACGTGTGATGTCTTAATCAGAAGGAGAATTGGATCTCTAGTCAATGACAGGGATTATAAAAAAATTATGCGAGGACAATACATTTTAAACTTCACTCTACGCTAATTTAACCATAAAAACCCGCTAATACAAGACGCAGCAGATTTCCATATTTAACTACGCGCTTCTAGCGTTCGTTCGCAATATCTGACACATGTGTAAATAGCTGAGTAATAATAAAAATAATATAATTAGTGCGGGAGAGTGCTTCCTGATTTGAAGAAAAAGCGCAAATACATACTTGATAAAAAACGGCGGATTATCGGTAAATGCTCATGTGCAATGTGAATAGAGGATATGAAATTTCTGCATTTAAAGAATGAGACATCGTGTGTTTTTCATACATATATAGTTCAGTTTTCTACTCACAATCAGTATATCTCGATTTATATTGACGATTACAGATGAAGATGCCGCTTCATTGTTTAAATGTCGAAATAGTATTTTCAACTTACTTACGCCGATTATCCAGCACAGTCTTTTTTTCATTACACGACAAATGCGCGCTGCACGCACTCTATCCAAGAGAATACTTAATTGTAAATAATTTCCATGGTAAACTCTATCGCAATGTTAGAAATAGATCTTTTTTGGTCTCGGCAATTCTTCACCATTTTATATTTGATACTAAAGTAAATCTAAATCAGAATAAGTTGTGCTCTTACGTAGCATCTTTCCATTTTTGACCAACATATATTTAAATTATTTTTTTTTTCAATATTCAAAAAATTATTATTTATCTCAACTATCGCATGATAAACATTGAATTTATAAAGTCATAAGAAATAAGCGAAACATAGGCAAAATCAATTTTTCGAGGCACAATAATGTTATGGGACTCATAATGATAATCCTTGCACAATTACAAATAACGATTCACTTTGAAGAATAAAAAGGAAGAAGCCTGATGAGCCATTCTTATAATTTATTGACTCGTAGCCCGAAGGGCTGCCAACGATTTCCTCAAGCATACGTTTAGTTAATCAAGAAAACGCGAATCTTTGTGTATAGTTCCTCTATAACTTACTTTTGCAATGCGCAATAAATAATTTTATTCTACTTAAGACGAGAGAAGCTGCGTTTTTTTCAAACTAGAGCAAGAGAAAATCCATTCGAAATAAACTCACGAAGAGTTAATGAAAAGTCATAAATTAATCACACATTGTTGTGTAATAATTATTTCTTTAGTTATAATTTTTCCGCAAATCTCGTCCATTCCCTGCACTTTATATGGACAAATAAATTATTGAAGCAATATGACAGTACTATAATTATATAATATGCAATTGATGGTGATATTTCTTCGAAGGACAAACGAGGACACTCAATTATTTGTACGTATCCAAAAGTTAGAAGAATAACTTTAAACTACTTTGTACAATAACGCACGTAATATTATTTGTAAAATCCGATGCGTTTCTGACATACCTTTTTAATTGTATTGCTGATAAATAAAAGAAAATATAAAATTATACCTCCTTGTTGATTAAAATTCAAATCATGATAATGCCAGAGAAATGGAAGATTGGATTATCAATTTTTTATTTTACATATTTTTATACATCCTCAGGATCAAACGCGAAAATATTATAAATTGAGAAAAAAAAATTTATTTCTCAATAAAAAGATTACGTGTAATCTCTGTTACGTAGAGATTCAGACTGTCGCGACGTTTTTTTTTCAATTAAATTCCGATAATTAAAAGCGAATCTTTTCTTTTCCATCGTATGTGACGTCGATGAACTGAACAAAGTCGTCTCTCTCTCCTCGCGTCTATCTTGGAATAATAATTTCACGATCGAACAATAATCGGTTACGCTCGACCAGTCTACCGCAAATATTATCTTTCCGCGTTCTGACGTTCGAAGTGACACATCGGACAAATTCAACTCACCCTCGGTTCTGCTTCCACCACCATCGCGGCGAGTTAAACCTCCCTCGGACAAGGGATGTGTCTTCTACACGTCGGTCTCACAAGAGTTTGTCTTCGCTCGCGAACCTGATCGGCCACGATCGCTTAGATCAGCTTAGTACGTGATTTTACAACTCGTCACCTTCTGTCGAAATCAGGCCAGATTCTTGCGATTCCGCGTCTTCGAACCTGTAGCAGTAAAATATAAAAAATGGGTAAATCTTTTTTTAATATCTTTTTCATGTTTCAATCGCAGATAATATTTTGTATTTCGAAAGCATAGGTAGTTGATTTTTTACGAAGTTTTTATATACAATAAAAGGAAAAATCGTAAAACATTCTGTGCGCAATATGCAAGATAAAGTCTTGGTACTTTTAAAATTTTTTTATCTGACGAACAATGACATTTCTCGTGACAGGAAGAACTCTGCCCACGCCGGTGTCCTGTAAAGTGTGCGGTGATCGATCATATGGTAAACATTACGGTGTTTATTGCTGCGATGGTTGCTCGTGTTTCTTCAAGAGATCCGTGCGTCGCGGCGCTTTGTTCACCTGTACAAGTCTGTATATTTTTAACAAAAACAATTTAAAATAATTTAAAATAATGCAGGATGTCCCAGTACTCTCACCTATAGTATTAAAAGAACATAGGATGTAACAAAAATGTGAGCCATTACTTCAAAAGTGTATTCTCATTAAAATAAAAAAAAAATTCAAGAAAGTTCATATGCAAAAATGTTTTTTAATCGGCTCTTTCGTCCTGCCAGGACAGGTGCTTATATAATTTTTGTAAAAATAAACCATGTAATGAATTTTTGGCTCCACAATTTTGTTATATCCTGTATATTTGAAGATTGTATCCTGTATATACAGATATCATAATCATGTCATAATTAAATCTCTAATTATTTAGATAGCGATGGCTCTTGCACCGTCGACAAAGCCAGACGAAATTGGTGTCCGCATTGCCGTCTAAAAAAATGTTTCTCCGTTGGCATGAATACAGCAGGTAAGAAAAAAAAATAATTAAATATACTCTGGTATACATAGCTACAAAATCAAGTTTTTCCGTTTTAAAATTAACATGCCACAATAATAATCATTATACACATTACATTATATATATATATATTTTGTATTAACCATTTAAAGATCAATAGGTATACATATCATTTATTCTGCAAAACAAAACATTTAATCAAAATATTTTTTCTACATATAATTATTACTTATAAAATATTATAAAATAACAAAATTACACTGAAAAAATCCATGTACTTTTACATAGAAATTACTAGATCAGAACTGGAAAAGTTACTTGCTTATCACTGTAATTTTTTTTCCATTTGTTTTAAAATAAAAATACATATTAATGTAAAAAAAACATGTAAAATATAGGTAAAATTATTATTTTTATGCAAAAATCATATGTAATTTTAAATTTACTACTTTTACTTTATTAAAATTTTATTTTATAAGTATTTATCTATTTTATTTATAACATTATTTTATAGCATTTATACATTCCTAACATTTCCTATGTGTAATTACATGTTCAGTGTAATATTTTTAATCTTGAAAATATTTAAGAATATATTTCGTATGAAATTACATATATAATGTAATCTTCCATGTAAATATCAATATTGCATGATTATGCTGGGTCGGAAAAAACCTAGCTTAATCATGTAATTTTACATAAATATTTTTTTCAGTGTATATTTATAATTTTATCATTTTATAATTGTCACTTATACGCATTTCTTTTTGACCGATCTTTATATCGTTTTTTTGTGTCAAATAAGATTAAATCGATATGAGATATCCTGTGTACATACAAAATCTCAGATTGAACATAAAATCACCGGAGACAAGTAAGCACAGTAAGGTCGAGCAGGTGCTAATGAACTCAACGAGATGCAAACATAGGCGCATGCTAGACACGTGCCTTCACCCTTAACCGGAAAAAGTTAATTGACAGCGGGCTTGCAACCAAGACAATCGATGTCAATCTAATGCTTCTTTCGTGTATACATTCTGTGAATTATTTTGTGTGTATTTTGTGCATTCGAAATAATGTTTCTTTTAAAGAAAATATTTAATAGTTTTGAGGAAAAGAACTAAATCAGTTTATAAGTAAATCAAATACAAGCTCTGCGCGATAGTTATTTTTCTCAGTCAACTTTCTGGATAGTCTTATAAATAATATAGTGGATAGCCATTGCGATAACGTGTCACGTGAAACGACATCGAGTGTCAACTCCGGTGGTCAGCTCTTAAGTACACAAAGCCTATACGCTGTATCGAAGAATTAAAACAACTCACTGCTGAAATTGTTCGACTACATCATTATTACGTGTGCTTTCGTATTGATTATAAGGCGTACAAGTTAAGACAGTCACGAAACAAAAAAATAAATAAATGCGTGTTTCACGAATCTTTGTTATTTTATAAAAGACTAGAACAAAAGCGCGCGCTACGCAAATCATTTCTCGATTTTATATTAACTTCTAATACTTTAGAATTTGCCAAAAATATATTTTTCCTAATATTAGTATTCCTTTTTATATTTCAAATATTATTATTTTTCCTAATATTAGTTTCATTTTTCATAATATTAATTTTATTTTTCCTAATATTAGTTTTATTTTTCCTAATATTAGTTTTTAATATTAGGTAATTGAGAAAAAGAGAAATTATTGCAGTAATTCCCTTTCAAAAAATTAAAAAAAGTTTTGTGCTCTGCATTTAAGCATTTAAATAATTATATATTATATAAATTAAATAATTTATATAGTATATATTCAGCTTAATATTTATTCAAAAGTGTTATTATACAATATTGTATTCAAATAAGATATTTTATACTGAAGGTTTAGTCTGCGATTGCAAGACAATCGCGATTGCAGAAAATTGAAATAGGATCAAATTCAAAACTTTTTTAATTTGCCTTTTTTCAATTTCTCTCGAATTTGATATATAATTTATTCTGTAAATATAGATTAAATTTTAATATTAATAAATAATATTAATTGACCGAATTTCTATTATGTACAATTTCAATATTATTTATATAATAGAAATACGGCAAATTAAAATAATGTGCATAATAGAAATTCAAGAACTAAAATTATGTATATACAATGAAAAATTAAAAATTAAAATTATATGCATAATAGAAAGTCAGCGAATTTAAATTATGTACACAATAAAAATAAAATATGTATACAATAAAATTATGTACGTAATAGAAATTCAGCGAATTAAAATTATTTACATAAAAGAAATACGGCAAATTAAAATTATGTGCATAATAGAAATTCAAATTAAAATTATGCACATAATAGTAATTCGGTGAATTAAAATTATATACATATAATAGAAATTCGATGACATAAACATAAAATTATGTACATAATAGGAACTCAGCAAATTAAAATAATATTAAGTTTAATTACAAACTGCAAACCTTGTCAAACGACTTGGTTGTGATTCAAGATTCAAGCCGTGAAGCAAACTTCGAGATAACCAACCAGCATCACAGAAAGAAAAAAGCCTCAATATTTCGATTAAAATTAAATTCGCTCAATTAACATGCCTTTTTCAAAGAAAGGATAATTAAGGAATAATCTAATCATATTTAAATCTCGAATTTGTTATATATAAAAAAATAAATATTCTTTTCTCTACTTATTCAATTATACATACATAAGTGAAAATAACATGCTATATTTTTTCGATAATGTAACTGCATGAATGTAATACGAGCAATAATTTAATAAAAATAAAAGTCAATTGTAAATATAATTATTCAACTGGTAAAAATAAATTTCAGTGCTTTCATAAAACACTGATATATTTATATCTATTCATCTGTAAAAATTGTCTTTATAAGAGTAATTTCGAAAGCAATTATAAAAATTATGACCAAAAATACTTTACAAAAGATAATGTTAAACTTTAAAGCATATATTTTTCCACAGCTGTGCAGGAAGAGCGAGGACCACGTGTTCGAAATAACACGCTGTCAAATCCGCATAATTCTAGTCTCACCTGGAAGCCTGCAGTCGATTCATCAACGGCTCTTTGTACGCGTTTTACTAATTCCGAGATATATTTGCCCTTTAAAAATCTCACACCGAACAACACTTTGATGATGAAGACATTACACGAGTCCGAAACTGGGGAGAATACATTTTTACCTGTCATGTCGCGTCATATACAGCCGACAAGAATTATATCGCCTGGTAATTTTTTCATTAAATATATAAATTATTTAATTTGTCACAGAGGAAACTCTATGGAATCTTTCAACCGTTCGTTGAAAAAATTATTAATGAAATATAAAAGATAAATCAAGTTTTTTTTCTCTCATCAAATTTGACTCGAATTTGATAGATTCGAACAAAAATTTTAATTTTTGATGATGCATGATTTTTTCGACAATAATTCAAATGAAATTTATCAGGTACGGCTATACAGTACGAGATATCCGCGCAAATATTCCTGGCGGCCGTGAGAAGTGCACGTCGTCACCGAGACTTCTCGATGCTAAACGTGGAGGAGCAAAATAAGATTCTCCGTCGTGGATGGTCCGCTCTTTTCGTTTTACGTGCGGCCACATGGCCGGTTGATTTAATGAATATACGAGAACAAAACATAACGAACAACGACGGTGCAACAGCTTATCTGACCGCGGCGCGAACCGCGATCGCAAAATTGCAGCTCGACAACGTCGAGTTGTGCATCCTGGACACATTCGCGCTGTGTCGTCCCGGTAAATAAAGAACCAAAAAAAGCAGTATTATGTATTGTACATACTGTTCCAAATTGAAATTTTTCTGCTATATATTTTCCATCTCAATTTTCAATCTGATATCTAACTTGATACTTCACTACCAGATCACTCTCTTTTGAAATTAATTTAATCTACAGTTTTCCTAAAAGCTGTTTTGAACTTTATAAGTAGAAAGCTATTTTATTATCTATTTGATATACAAAAAAGTAGACTCTTCTTATTGTATACATCAATGATATTTTATACAATATACGTATACATCGAAAAAGTATTCTATATTAAAATCCTCTGGAATTTAGAAGGGTGAGAAAATTGAGATTAAAAATAGCAACAAAATTTCAGGTTTTAAAACATATGTCGTGTTAAAATTGCAGAGATTGCCAATACTACCAATGGTTTCCACGTAATGTCACAAGCGAGAGATAACGCCGTAGAGGCCTTAATACGACATCTTCGACATCGCGACGATCGAGACAACAAATTGGCCAGGATTCTATTCGTCCTACCTGTTCTTACCGGATGCTGTCCTCGAGAATTGGCTGGAGAATTATTTGCGCCGATTATCGGCGATGCAGATCTCGAAAGGGTCATCGCGTCTGTGCGATAAATTCTCTGCAATCTGCAACAATAAAATATCTATAAAATATGTAATCAGCAATTATATACTTCATTAGAGAAACAGAAATGCAAAAAATGGATATTAATTTATACGATATAATTTTAAGAATGCATATCCAATTAATAAATGTGTATTACAACCAGTAAAATATATCAAATACATATATAAAAATATTATAGCAAAAAAATACTTTTTCTTAATTGCGTAACAATGATTGGATTCCAACGCGATACTTAATTTCTTCGGAACGATTTTAAATCGCTATGAATCATTGTTGCTTTGTAAACAAATGCTAAGTACACGCATTCTCTAACGTAAAAGTTTTACACAACCGTCTTTGGAATGCAAAGGCGAAAGTAAAGTTAGAAATGCACGCGTTGTACAGATTAAAAAGGAGAAATTAAAGTTTCTGCCTGGATCAAAATTCGACTATCGCAGTCAGGTGATGGATAATTTGTTTCTCGAGTAGATAATAAAAATACGTAACGTAATAATTTGAGAACTTCAAAAATGTTCACTTTTTTCATCACCGCTGCTGTAACGATAGCGATAAATGTGAGAAAATATTGCTACAAAATTTTATGTCAAGGTATACAAAAAATATTCAGACATTCAATTTAACATTAAAACATGTATAAATTAACTTCCTGCGATTCAATTATTTTTAATATAGGATGTAAAATGTAAAATAAATGTACGGTGAATTCTAGTCACATCCAATGAAAATGCAATACCAACAATATCAGGTACAAGAAACAAGTAAGAAATTAAAGTTTTTGATCTTTCTCCTTTCTCAAATAATATTTCACAAGATATGTTATATATTTACAGATTCCGGTTGACAATATTCGATAAACATATACTATTGCAATAAAGACATAAAAAAATTGATTTTTCAACATTCTTATTTGTCTATATAATATAATCCAGTTAACTGCTTGTAAATTGTCTTTTTAAACAAACAATTATTTCGAAAGTAAAGGCGAGCTTCAACCGATGGTAGAATATTACGATTTAAACAAAACGCAATATCTTTTCTTTTCTCAACAAGTGACTTGGGACGAAGCACAAGTGTTCTGTAGCTATTACAATGTAAATCTTGCCATTTTAGACACTATGGAGAAAGCCACAAGAGTTATCGAATCGATAACGGACTCACATAAGTGTGATATTCTGTTACATACAAAACATTCTATTATCCAAACGGAAATATGTGAAAAGAATCTCATTAATTCTATATAAAAAATTGAATGCCATTAAAATCAGCTGATTTTACTAGGATGCAATTTTATATTTAGTGCAAAATTATTTCCTGTCAAAAAAATATATCATGTATATACTTTCTGTCATGTAAAATTTACCTGGGAAGAGACCGTTTATTGCCGTTTATTAGGCGCCAAATTAGCGATCCTGAGCAATTCCGATGTCATTGAAATTCTCGCCAATACCATGAAGGTACGGCCAGATAAAAAGATTTAATTAATATATGTAAATATTAATATACTTATTATATTATATTAATATTTATATATTTTATATAATTATTATTTATATTCTAATGTTAAATTTAATTAAAATCATATTTTAGAATAAATTATAATCTCGCAAATTGGGAATAAAATGTGCGAATCCACCAGTTTAATTGCCGTTCAATCAAACTGATATTTAGCGACTGTCACTAAACAGATTTTAATATTTTGCATAAGCAATTGTCGATGCATGAAGAATCGTGATATACATATATGTATAATACATAAAATATCGTAATATGCACATAATATATGAATAAATCAAATGGTGAGAAAAACGATGTAAAGAAAAATGATATATCTTCCTAGATTAATTTATCTAATATAATATATTTTACTTATTTTTTTATATTTACCTCGACATTATTATAGATGTGAAGCACATATCCCGCTACTTAGAAATTCTTGATAGTATGAAGAATACTGAGAACTTAGAAGACTATTCGCTTTTAAATTAATTAAACATGTTACACATTTTACAATTAATCACAACACTGTTATACATGAAATTTTAATCGACAATTTCTATTCGAATAGAAATAATTATATTTATCCTTTCCAGACTATAAGAAAGCACTAAAATGTAAGAAAATTTACAATTTATAACATTAATGGCATATTAAGTTTCAGAATAATTTGTTGTTTTCTAGTGTTGCTATCTTGCGATTTTAATTCCAAAGAAAACACTGATCTTATCAATGTGATTTCTGAAAAGAATACAAATAATAGCACTGCAATACAACAGAATATTTCTTCAACAGAATTTGATCAAAATAATACAAATTTACAAAAACAATAGGTATCAATATATAGACAAATGAGAAAGAATGTCATATGCATTTTTTAAATAATTATATTGACATACTTTATAACTGCTAATTCTCTTAATTATATGCAGGTATCATCTGAAAATGAAGATTCAAAGAATCAAGGTTTAAAGTTGAAAGGACAGTCGTCGTCGAAGGATAATAATAATAAATGTAGATTCTCTTTTGCGCTCACTCCATCCTAAATTATATAACTCTGAAATAATTTCATAACATTTTAACATTTTTATTTTGCAGATTCGATACCAATACACTCGATACCACCACTGCAAGGGATGAAGCTCTTGAAAACTCTTAAGACATGAGCAACAATTCTTCAAAGATGCATCCCCTAATAATATACAAATATATATCTGCACTATACTGTTTCGTCTGTATTCCACGCACTCACAATCAGACTTACAGATTGTGTAACACATATTGGAAAACATTCACCCAGCTTTTGTTTTCTTTGGCACTTTATTAACGCAAATATATAACAATTTACGAAATGGTATATACAGAGTCTTATGATAATATGGCATATCGAAATGGTAAATGTAATTATTCTTGTGAAAATGATATGTCACAATATTAGACACATCATTAGAAATCTTACATAAACGTCGCCTTATAATATAATGGATTTCCGTCTTTCCCAATTGGGTAATAAGATTTATAGGCACATACATTATTGACATCATTGAGTAAGACACAGTGGTACAAAATTAGAATAATAAATACCATTCTATATCTTTTATGAAAATATAAATAAATTTAATAATAATAAATTAAGACATTACCTGATAGTTTCTGTTATACTTTCGTATAGACTTTAAACTTCATAGAATTAAAGAGATATCGTTTGAATGAAAAACAAACAATCGACAAAATTATAATCATTCTAATGAGGTTCCATAGATTATAATTAACAATATAATAAATTAAAAAACTTTATATAAACTGTAATATAGAATCTGAGACATTGCAATTTCCTGTATTATAATACACAAAAATATACATAATATAACTGAATAACTATTGTATATCTTACCTTGTATCATCAATTATATAAATAAATATTATTAGTAGAAAAATGTAGATATATCATATGTAGCACTCAAAAATATAGACATATTCGAGTTTATATTTTATATAGTAATCATTAAATAATTTGTCGTAATATAAAATCTTGCCAAAAATAAAATTTCTCAGCATTGTATAGAAAATTTTCACATATAAATTATATGTAATTTTTATCAAACAAAAGAATGAAAAAATCTCTTATTAAATTATTGCACCTTGAAACATATAGATTTGCACATACACGTGTACAAATTCTAATAAACGTTCGTAATATATGATAGTAAGTAATTGTTATCCTCAAAGATGAAATATGATATCATATACTTGACTAACAAGAGCAGATTTTTATAAAAAAAATCACTAAAAAGTAACATTAATTAACCTAAATATCTTATAATTAATATAGTAAAGACAAAATGCTGCAGATCTCGTAATATGCAGACAGGCACCATCATTAGAATATTAAGTATGCAATGCGCTATATCAATGCCTTGAAGAATCACTTAGTAATTCTTATAAATTCAAATTGTTAATATATTATACAACTTACTTATTGTAAAAGTACAACAAAATTTGAAATTACACAATAATAATTTTAAGTTATCTGATCCCAATCAGTAGTATTTCTTTTTGTACTTACGATATCTCTCCACCTCAGATTGTCTCCGTAATTGATTTAAAAGTTCCGTCGGTACATACCACAATTTGTCAACATTATTAAGTAGAGCTTCTGTTACCTGACAACATATGGCAGCCATGTTTACTTGAGCGGTCAGATCGGTACGGTCCCGAGGATGAACGTAGCGAGGTGGAAATAGCGATGGTGCAACTATCATTGCCACGTTGTGTATTGACATTTTGTTCGATGCCTGATTTTCGATGACCAGTTTCAAAAAATTCAACAATGCCTCCAAAGTACACCGATGTTCAACAGGTAGCAATAGCACCAGAAGATTAAGAGAGTACACTAAGTCATTGGGATTCTTCACACCTGTATATAAAATTGTAAAAAAGAGATGTAAGAAATTATTTTTTTAAATCTTTCTATAGTGAGTACACAAGATATCATATAAATAATTTGCACTAACCATGACTTTGATAGAAAGCGTCAATCAGCTCGACAGTGAGAAGAGGTTGCGGCAAGTCGCGTAACAATCTTTTCAAAACGGCTGATAAATCGTGACATGGAGTACACTTAAACAATTTGTCCATCTCTTTTGGCTTACAATAAAAGTCTGTTTCCAGCTCCGTACAAATAATCTCTACCTGAATAATTAATAATTATGTGTAAATAATTATATTATTATATACTTTTATTATTATTATTATTAATTTTCTCTTCTTACTTTCTGTTTGTGGCCTCCGACACGAAGAATACCTTCTTCTTTCACTCCACGTTTTGTCAGTTCACTAAGAATCTTTTGAAATACTAATGGTATGTTATTCTCTTCGCTTGTTAATTGACTGTCCCTAAGCAGCAGCGTTGATAAGGAAACGCCAAACAAATTTCCAGCTACAAATTTTTACAATTATATATATATATATATATATATATATATATATATATATGTAATACAAAACAATTATGATAAAAAAGACAATAATCGTTCGAAATATTACTCACTTTTTCTCCGCCGTTTGTTAGGTTTTCGTCTCGTAAGCGGGATATTATATTTATCGAAAATTGCCGTGAGCTCAAGCCACAAAAGAGGTTGCAATCTTGTAAGATCTCGTTGCGATAATAATTCAACATCCTGCCGAGCATAATCGTCATCAGCTACAAGATTATCGGAAGACCATTGAGATTTGGCTTCGTTGGTTCTGCACATTTCCTCGAAACTAAGATGACCGTGCGATGATGTGCGACTTAATGGACGAGCGATGAGATTCTCATTCGCCGGTCTAGTCAAGCCATATAAACTGCTGTGACTTCGGGTTACTGTTGCATGACTACCCGCACTTCGTCTAAAATAATATATTATTGATCACAATTCGAAGAGATTAATTTGGAGAATAATTAGGTAAGCAATTATTTTTAATTATTTTAAAATTACCGAAGAGTCGATTCCTTTGGTACGGCCAATTTTCTAACCGACTTGGTATCTATGTGCGCTGCATTTCCTATATCGCTGAGATCATCATTATGTCTCTGAACTGGTCTACTGATATGTATCGTTCCCAATCTATGGTAGCCGGTCAGCTGTATTCCTTCTGTGTAATACAATATTTTGAATGTCAGAATAAAACTACTGATTATTATAATGATTAAATGCAAATATTAAAGGCAATAATACCAGAATCATTTGCGACATCTCCCCGCGACCAGTTGCCAGTTCTTCGGAAAATCTCTTGTAGAGGTGCAGGATTCGGAGTGGATCCTGGTACAGAGTTGAGAACTGTTTGCGGAGCACTTGGTGTTCTACGAACTGTTGCTTTTCCCTCATTTGATGTTCGGTGGAATATGGATACGAAACTTGGGACGCTAGCGCTGTAAACAATTAAAAATAAATAATGTATCACAAGCAAAATATAAAAAGAATTAATTATGTCAAACATTGTATAAATATACTTTTGGTGTGCATCTTCAATTACGTTGACTGTTGGAGGCGAAGGAGGTGACGCATTTTCTGGTGTAGCGCCTGGAATTGAATCCAAGGAATCAGGAGTAGCGCTACGTGATCGTGTACCTGTACTGGATACCTTTAAATAAATATATTCGACAGATAAAATATTTATATACGTGATATTAATAAAAAATATACATATTTTAAAAAATAAAAATATAATTTGATGTATTTAACAATTTATTTTTTATCGATTTATCAATGTACCTCTACATCTTTGAAGACATCTCTAATATCAGGTTTGCGAACACGTTGACGTTGATTGAAACGCTGTTTAACCGTATGATTAAGCGATCTTACACGACGTTTCACAGCTTCTGCCTGAACTCGTGACAGAGGACGTAAGGCTGCTCCTAATTCTTCAGGCTGTACCTCTCTGCCTGCTTTCCACGCTTCTGTTAACTGTCCTAAACCTGCTGCGCGTAACCATTCAGCTTCTTCTTCCCCTTCTATAAGGAAAATATAGATATTTATTCTAAATATTATAATGTAACATTATAGAATTCAATTTCTTTTTAAATTATAAAAACTTTTTGAATTGAATAAATTAAGAGTTATAAAAACTGTTTGTCTATTGAAATTTTTAATATTGTTGAATAACTTAAATATTGTTAATAATACAAACCATCATAACTACGTGGACCGCATTCTTCATCTAAATAATCATCCAGCATTTTTGTCTCTTCTATCATTTTCTGATATTCCTCCCAGTATTCGAGTAAGTGATTATCACCTCCTGTGTAGGTGGCACCATGTCCTCTATCCATGTTTCCGTTTCTCTTTCTCTGATATTTTTTATGTATATTCAACTCCGAAGTACCTTTAAAATCATTTAACAACTCCTGACAATGTATTACCACTTTGATACCTAAAAAGATTGTATTAATCATATCAAAGGTTTACTGTATTTATATCTCATTCTTTTCTTTCTTATTATTAGCCCTAATCTTGAATGAATCAGAGAGATAACATTAAGCTCAACATAAATGGTAATAAAGGATAGATATTACAAATATGAAATTATCTCTATTATGAGTAATACTAAATGTAAAAGACAAAACAATTGTACATATATATGTGATTGTGTTTTTGTCATATATATGTATGTGTGCATTAGTTATTATTAATCAATTTTTTTTTATAAAATAGATGCTGTAATTTTGATAAATTTTGATAAATTTAAATTTTAAACAATATTCTGTCAGCAAAGAAACATATATTAAGATAAATATCTCTCATTTGTTATATTTTCATTATTTATTTCCTGTTGATTCAATGAATAATTTTAGCTTTATTATGCGCATAATTTCACTTTTTAGGATAGAGAAGAATAATATTCCTGTTACTTTTACCGTGAAAATTGAAAGTTTTGAAAACAACAGGAATATGAAATAACAAATTTACATCGGAGAACCACTATCGAACATTCACTTTTCGAAAGTTAAAGAATACAAATAATCATTCACGACAGGAAATTTTTCTCGAATAATAAGTCGAACGTCGTTTCTCATCACATTCCACAAAACAGAGAAACTAACTAAGCAAACTTGAATAAAGTCGCACATACGCACACACATATATACATATATATCTTTCTCACACAGGTGTGAATTTCCAACGCGTTCGTAAACAGCGAACAGTTTCTCTTCAACGTATAATCGAATATACGAGTAAAAAATGCGATAAGTGCGAAGTCGTCAATAATTTATTCGTTAACGCACTCCCTTCTCTCCTCTCTCTCTCTTTCGAACAAGAGGAATACTTTGCACACGCATGTAAACACGCAGCTCCCACAACTACATTCTCGCGACACACGCACATACACACATAATATATATGTAATAAAATATACCTAACGCGGCAAAACAACGCTGTTTACGAGCGCATCTTTTATCATCGTCACGAAACATAACCCAATTCGTCGACTTACTGCTGTCAAGTTACTGCTGACGCCTTTCTTCATGAATGGGACTCGTGCGGAATTCCTCGACAGAGGACCCTCAATCACGTGTGCAGGCTCATCGTCGTAATTCCGAGATTTAAACGGCGAGCGAGAGAGAAAGATGATACCTGAAGTTGGGACAGATGATGATGATGATGATGATGATGAACGGTTTCGTCGCGCGAACGACTTAACGATGACGCTTTTGTAATCCACAACTGTTCCGAAAGAGAGAGATCCGCCGATCGCGCCTGTTGACGCGAGACTCGAGTGCGATTTTTCGAGGCTAGCCGCTTCCGAGAAGTCCTAATAATGTATTCCGCGCGCGACCACGCATCACGTCGGTGGGCGGGGGCGGGAATGTATGACGCGAATCTTACGTGCGTGCACTCGTTCACGAGACACGCTCACGCGCCTCTAATCCGCTGCATGTTTCCTCTCCGAGCGCGCACGAACACATAGCAACGATAAGAAAAAAAAAAAAAGATTATACGAGCGCGCTGCTCCGACAACCTGCTGGGCGCACGCGCACACGCATACAATTATGCGCATGCGTTGCGTCTGTGTGTGCGTACGCCATTTTTACTCGCTCCCGAGTGACACCTGCGCAACTTCAGGGTTGACGCCATCTTCCGCATCGCTAGAGCAGCGGTGTGGATGAATTTTTCGGTGCCCGAAATTTGATTTTTCCAGTTAATAATAAATCGATGAATTGACGTTTTACAGATTATTGATAAGAAAATATTTTTCTGACGAAATAACATTGTACTCGTTTATAGAATAAATGAAGATGTAGAATATTTTAATATTAATTTTTTTGAATTAATAATTATATATATATGTGTATTTATATATAATTTATATATTATTTTATTAATTAATCATAAAAATTAATATTAAAATACATATATTGGAATTTAATAAAATTCAATATATATACTTATATATATTGAAATACTAATTCTCAATTATTAGATAAACATAAATATATACATATCTATCATTAAATGTATCATTTCTCTTACTTATTTTGACAATTTTATATATTACGTTTATCGTTATTTCGTCTTACATTGCGTTACATTTTGTTTTTAATCCGAGAATCAAATGGAATAAACAATTATGATTTTAAAAAATTCGCAATGAATAAAATAAAAAAGTATGAAACATAATCAATCTGAATATGGATGAGGAAAAATATGTGTGAGGAATGTAACTCGATTAGTCAGTCTCTTTGACGCGAAAAAACCAATCCATAACTATAATTACACAAAAAAAATGCTAATAATTATAGAAAAAAATTACATTCACGTTTATTGATTTTATCTTTATCGAGCATTCCTTGATCCAGCACCAATATCGTTCGTAATATATATAAGCTTACGGTACTGTCGTACGCACACATTCTAAGCATGAAAACACAGAGAAGGATTTCTTTGCGTGTTTACGTAACGCATACATAGAAAGGCAATAGCCTTGTGCGGTAAGATACTGTGTTTATATCGGGACGGCCATTCACAGATGCTTAACTGCGGCCTGGCTGCACGCGCGCGCATATATTACAGCAGCTTCATGAATCATTAACGTCGAAATCAAGATGCGAGATTCCTCTCGAGGCGAGCAAGTCGCTGCGACGTAATTTTCCGAACACTTGAGGAATCTAGGACGTGGCTGTGGACGGAGAACCTCTCCCTTTGGATTTATGTTATATTCACATAATAAATTACTTAACGCTTTTTATTCCCATCTTTCGATGAGTAGTATGTTGGAACATCGAACTGATAAAGAACATTCCTGTTTCTGTTTCACACAAAATCTACAATTTCTTATTATATATATATATATACACGAAGTGGAATACAAATACATATGTAGTTTTGCAAAACTATATATTTTTATATTGTCGAAAATTACTTTAACCGTGCGGAGATGATTAAATTCCCATTCATTTTATTAGAAAATGTAGATTTGTTCACGTTTATACTAATAAACAAGGTATACGTACATATGTATATGTTTACGCTATTCATTTTAAAAATTAGCATCCACCTTCTCCTGCTCATAAAATAGAACAGATAGATTAGCCACAAGATCTTAAGATAGATTTGTAATTTTGTATAAATCAAAAATATGATTCATACAAAATTATAGATATTAAAGGGCTATAAAAACACGAAAACGTAAAAAAACATACCATAATATAGAACGTTGTAACAATGTTAAATCTATCCTGAATTTAACTTCTGTTAGCACGATTACCCCATCCGCGACGATGCGTGTCTTTATATTCATCCATTGCGCGCGTTTGTTCGAGATGTTCGGGATCGTCTTTCTCTTCCCTCTCCTCCTTCAAGATGGCTTCGTTGTCTTCATTTGTACTTTTATTCGCCATGTCTTGCAAACATCGATTTGTTCCATTATGCTGCGATGGATCAGGCCAGCTAGAAAAGCATCGCATAAATTATTTTTTCTGTCAAATTCGTAAAGTAATTAAAAAGAACGTTTATTAGATATAATATTTGCTTACTCTCCATCTCTGACTCTCTGTTCGTAAAACTCTTCAACTGTTAAGACTGGTAAACTTGGATAGCCTGCTCCAAAAACTTTCTTCTGCACCTCGTCACGCGTAATGATAATAGGTTGTAATTTGGGAGCTGGTTTTCGTTTTTGAGCCATCTGTGATTTGGAAGCAGAACGTGTTGAACCCATTTCCATTGTGTTTTTCAAAATTGTTTTCTCAGTTTCCAAGAAATTCAACTCTTCTACTATCTGAACTGCATACAATTTTAAAAGAGTAACGAAATATTCTCTTTTTATTTCATCATCTACGTTTGGATTGTCTAAATTTTTCTTCAGAGTATCCAAACGAGACTCCAAATCTTTCTCTTGCTTATATCTTTGTAATTTTGCATTTCTACGAAGTACCTGAAAATGAACAGTATTATTAGATTATAATTAATATAATATTTGAATTATAATTATAAAAATATAATAAATAAAATATAATCAATGATAATGATTATAATTGCATATTATCTGTAATGTAACAATGTTGTGCAATAAGAAACCAACCATGTCTTCCAACATGCTAGGAGAATCGCTCTGCAATTTACTTTGATTATCTCCTGCTTCTTTCTTTTCATCACTAATCTTTGGTATTTCAACATCTGTCAGATTGTATGCTTTCAGCCGTTTCAGGAAATCCACAAAATAAATTTCTCCTACTTTAACAAGATGCATCCTGTCGTCACTGTTACATATTTTGGTGGTAAGCTTGCCCAGTAGAGCTGGTAGTAAGAAATATTTGATATTTTCTGTAGCAACTTCCTCGAAAGTTTCATTGTCGCTGAACATATCCACTATGGATACCAGTTTTGTTGCTTCCTCAAACATATGCATTGTCTGCCTTATATCTGACTATGACAAACAGCAAAAGAAAGAAACAAAATGTTATTATAATTTTTATCGTAATAAAAAAATTCACATAGAGCTTGACTTGATTTAAAAATATAAATTACATATAAATATATATGTATTGTAATGTTATATATATATGCATTGTTTAGAACAAAAAAGATATTGTAAGAAGTTTTAAAATCGTCATAAATACCTGTACTTTTGTGCTATTTGTCGGTTCCTGAGTTTTATTAATATTATTAAAGAGCTCGAAAGCGTTGTCAAATAATTGCGATAATGTTGTAGGATCTTTTTCATCTTTTTCAAGGCTCAAGCCAGCCCTTAAGTCTTTCGACAAGATTTCTTCTGACATTATTATCGTTCTGTTATCTGTTAACGTAGATATGTATAATATCGTCAGTGTTTTGCGTCGTTAAATCACCGCAGTTTTCGCAGCGTTGAGGTTAGAAATAAATAAAACGAAGTTAACGTTAGTCAACTAAACCACAAATATCAAAACTTCTACTTTCGAATTATTATTTTGTAATTAATTTTTCTGTTTTACCTTTTATATCGAGATGTTTTCGTGTGGTTTATCAGAGCTCAAAACTTTCCACTGTTTCCCAGCTAAGCCCTAAGCCCAGCTCTCGAAATTTAAATTAGCAGTTTACTTTTGTCTTTTTTCGCATCTTTTAAAATGGCGCGAAATTTGAATGACTATTTCAGTTTCATATAATTTTCCTAATATAAATCACAGAAAATGTATAAGAAAATATAAATATCTCTAAATATTATATATATGTTATAAATAAATAAATATATTATATCACATATTCTATATATATATATTAATTTATATGTATAAAAAATGTGTGTGCATATATAAATATACACATTTTTTATACATATAATTTATACATATTTAAGTATTTATAGATAACACTTTGACAATTTCATGAAAGTGCAATCAAACCTCTTTAATATCTCAAACAATTTTAAAATTCTTGGCCATGTCAATAGTAATGAGATGGTAACACGATGGAAAAATATTAATAAAACATTGTATTTAGATTCATTTTATATACAGACATGTCTGACGTGTGTTTCATTCATGCTACCGTCTAAATATCAAAATATAGTTAATTTAGCTTTATTCTTCCTTTGATTTTGCTCAGCGACAATACTTTTCTCGGAAGCTTTTAAATTACTAAGCTCTTTTTGTTTCTCATCATACTTCATCACAATATTATTATAAAGTACGCTACCTTTAGCATGTCTTGCTAAAGATTCTTTGAGCTTTGACGACTCCTTCTCTAAACGATTTATAGTTTCTGCAACTAGAAAACTGGCTACATTCAGGTTTCTATTCGATTCTGCTTTAAGTTTATCTTTATTTTGTGAACTACTAGCTGCGTTGTCGTCTTTGGCTGTAAAAGATATTAATAATATTTAAAATAATTATATATAATAAATAATAATTATATTCAATGAATATACGTTATGCTATATTTTTTAAATGCATCAGTTCTTATTTTTCAACTTACATTTATCACCTAATGTTTTATTGATAAAATTAAATACATTTCTGTCCTGTTTTTGTTTCTCTCTTTGATATTGTCTTTCTCTTTGCTGCTCTAATTTGTGTTGCTGCTTGCGCATTTTACGTTCTGCAGAGAATAAATCTTTGTCACCACCGGCAAATTCACGTAATTCCATACAATGATCTGAAAAATTAAATAAATCAATAATATGTTGTATTAGACATTGCACTGGACAGTTATGAGAAACTGACTGCTTGAACGAACCTAACGATTTTCCTGGTGGCAAGACTGTAGCTTCAACAGGTTCTAGTCTACCGTCACTCCGTTTTCCAAGACCAGTACCAGTTACATAACCCATTTGCGCCATTATTTTGCTGCCAATACCACGTGTATGCTTTTCCCAATTTCCTAAAGATTCAGTCGATTGTAATGATAAAAGAGATTTATGAATTAATTGTTCATTTGAGTATGATGATGAATTACAGACAGACTCATCATCATCATGATCGCTATCATCAGATGTATCTGACATTTCTAAGTCTGTATCATCTGTAAACATAATAAAATATTTTATTAGAAGATTATATTAGAAAGTGTGATTACATTATATAATTAGTCTTTATGACACTCTTACCAAGAGGTAAAAGATTTTGTAAACTAGATTCCATGATTTTGCCACTTGCTTCAAACTTTATTCTATACTCGTCCTCATCTTTTTCAGGTAATTTTAAAATTACAGATCTATGCCATATATTGTTTTTCTGTTTAGTTAATACCCTGCTTCCCATTTTAATATTTTGAAAATCAGGTTCTCTATATGAATTATTAAGTTATGTTAGACTAAATAAATATTGAGTAATAATCAATTTTGTAAATTAAAAGAAAGTACTTGTATTCCTTTAGACTTGAAAATGGCACAATTTCACCATGAGAGTAATGGCAATTTTCATCAGAAAACTTGCAACTTCCATCAAGAAAATATGGGCATGGAATCATTTCTTTATGCGTTGGATTGAGAAAAAAACTCGAACCTAATTAATAATAATCAAGTTTAAAAATTAAAAAAAAAAAAAAAAAAAAAAAAAAAAAACATGTTACACAATCTAAATTATTATTATTTATAGTATTAATAACAAATTTACCTTAATATCATGGATATCTTTAATTGCCTCATCATTGCTTCTATAAGCAGAACATACCATAGCATTATGATAACCAGTACCACCCCAAGTACCACCATAAGGGGCCTTGCACTTCATACCCTCTAGCTCCTTCAATTCATCCTACAAGATCAACTTGCACCGTATAATTGTGTCATTGTTATGACATAGAGAATAGTTGTATACTGACTTCAATACTACCAGAAGCTGTGTTAGTTGCACTATCCAGTTTTGTATTTTCATCATCATCCGAAAAGTTTTCCAGTTCCGCCTAATGGATTTAAGCAATTTATAATTTAAGCAATACATTTTTCATTATATATCACAGCACTCTCTTTATTTCATTCTCTCCCTCTTTTCTTTTTTTTTGTCTATATTTGCTTTATAATTTATATTTACATACCAAATATAAAATAATACTTGAAAATTATGAAAGTATGCTGCAATAAACTCTCATATAATAAATCATGTTCGATAATATTTTTTTCTATTAGCTGATTTACAATTGTATTGTCATAGGAAAGAAATAATAAAATATATCAATCTTGTTAATAATTAGAAATGATACTTTAAGACAGACCTTGAATAAGGCATATTCTTTTTCCAATAAATTTTCTGCCTCATCATCAGAATCTTCATCTCTATGTCTGTCTGTTGTACTATTTTCTTCAAGACTTTGCAAACTCTCTTTTGTCAAAGAGATAAGTTCCTCGATGTCAGACTTTAAGCTGAGCAGGTTGTCTCTGTCAGGTCCTATTGGTGTTGCAGACAGTGTTGTATCTACTTGTGACAGCTACAAATGTGTAAACGTAAATAAACAAAGAGTATGATAAATAAAAATGAAAAATGAGGAAAAAAAAAAGTATTACAATAAATTTAACTTATGTCGAAATAATTTTTTTCCATATAAACTATCAATAATACCTGAGTCTCATACTGCTCTATAGCTTCTTTCAAACTCTTTGCGTCTGTCATATTGCTGTCAGTAAGAGAGTGAAAAATAATTACGTCTAATTAAATCATAAAAAACACTTTTTACAATTATTGACAACTCGCAAAATTGGCATAAAGCAGAGCTCTTTCAATCAATTCTAGACAATCTTGCCAATCTATTTCCTTTTCACTCTATATTTCCCTATTACAAAAATATTCCTAAACTTATCCAAAAATATTTATTAGACAATAGTAGCGTACTAAATAATATTATTTTATATGAGATCTTATATATTCAATTACAAGAATTATTTTTATAATATTATAAAATTGTTGATAATATATTTCTATTTTTTATCAATTGCATCTAGGTTATCTTAGACAAAATATACCCTGAGGGATAGCTGCCTCGGTAGCGCAGTAGGCAGCGCGTAAGTCTCATAATCTTAAGGTCGTGAGTTCGATCCTCACCCGGGGCATTTTTTTTGCAACCGAAATAAATTTTTTTAATTACATCAATGCTAATAAATTTAAAAAACACAGGAATTTTGAAAAGTTTATATATTTACAATCTAACAAAATATTTAAGAAATCTAAGAATTAATTCTTGCACAATTATGCATATTAGACGCTTATTTTTATTATTGTGTTTTATTTAATTTCAATTTTATTTTATTAAATTTAACTTATTTTATTTAATTTTAATTAAATTTTTAGTTTTTATTTCAATTTAATCTGATCTGATTTTATTACAACGTGTAAAAATGTTATAATGTAAAATGATATAATTAATATAATATATAATAAGGTAAAAAGATTAATAATTTAAAATGTGAGAATGTAAAGAAATGTAACCTGGAAGCTATCCCAACAAGATGCAAATCAAGAATTAATATTAAATAAATAATAAATAATAATTGCTACATTACACTACTAGATGCAAAATCATTAACTGCGTCTATAAAAATATAATGATTATACAATATAGAAAAAGATAATTATTGAAAAAATTTGTTAATTAATACTACAAATGTTTTTCTCTTGATTTTTAAAATTCACGATTGGCTAACAAATGGCAAGTTTAGCTAAAGGATTTGGACCGACGAACAGTGAAAGAAAAGCGCTTTTGCTTCGAGGAGAGAAACCGAGAGCATAAGAGACAATTATGCAAATACACGACGCCTGTGAGAAGGGCCCGAGTCGACTCTCGGGATTGAAATGTGGAAGTTAAAACGAGTTGTGAATTGTTCGCTGCCCTTTAGCGGTAGCGCAATTTGCAAGCAAACAGCCCATTAAATTGAATTCGCCGTAGGCTCTCTGTTTCTCGAAGGAGAATATACATATAGTTATTGTTCGCACTGATGTTTCTTACAATCGTATAATTCTGACATTTCATAAAATCGTATTTTCGTCGAAGACAAAAAATTGTATCCTGCGCAAATGTTTTCACAATAAAAATAACGCAACAAAAATATTATTTGTAAATTACGCTTTCTGTCTGGTTTTTTAAACATATTTCCAGCGTCATTGAGACGTGTCATTAAATCGTCTTGAATGTCACAAAAAAAAGGAAGGACGAATGAGATGTGATTTCATGCAAAATCCTCGAAAATCCTGGATTGACCCCGTGAATCCGCCGGTTGATTCCGCGTTGATTCAAGTCGCATTCACGGCGCATCACATCGCATCGCATCGCATCTCGCGATGAAAAGACGTAGAGCTTTTGAGTGTGTTCCAATTAAAAAGTCAGAGCTTCGTTACACTCAGTTCTATCTCCCTCTTTCCCCTTTTCCGCCCTTCCTTCCTTCTCACCCTGCGCTACCTCTCTTCTTGTCTTCCTTGAAGCCGCCGACCTCCCTTTTACTTCTGGCTTTTGCCTTTCGTTAAGAGAAGAAAGGAAGAAGGAAGGAAAGAGAAATCGCTGTATATCTGGAATTTTTCTCCAGCAATTACTCCATCGCTTTTCTAAAAAATTAAAACCGCTTTTTTGTATACATCGGTTCTTCTTTTCTCTTCCGGTCTCTGATTCAGTTCGTTTACAAGTACATAAGTCAAAATTTAAACGAGAAGAAATATATTATAGCATAATTACAACAGGCATAATTTGTCAGTTCAATTTAATAATCACATGCATTTAATTCTATTGTAAGATTATGCCCTGGTTAGCGAAAATAGAGGATGCTCGTTTATAGCGTTTAATCTATGAAGATAGCGCAAATCTTTCCGTCCATTCTGATACCAGGTATTTCCTTTTCCAGCTAACCAAGCCCTTGCACTTACACTGTGAAGAAGAAAGAAAATTAACCACCGATGCTCTCGATACAGGATGTAAAAAAAATCGTGTGAAAAAGGAGCGAAAATTTCTTTTTCGCGTATGAGAAGAAAGAGTTTTGTTCCCTCCCCCCCCGTGAAGTATTTAACGATGCCGCACTATGGAGACAAGAAGTGAGCCGAAGAGAGGAATAAGAAGCGCGTGCCCAAGTGCCAACATGACTTACGCATGTATGCACACGCGTGTGCGCGCGGCTATTCGTCACAATACAATACGCACGTGGCTGAACACGCGTGCGACGCCACTTATCTTAGGTATCTCGGAAACCCTCTCCCTTTTCAGTTCTTGATGACGGTGTGCATATATATCAAAAAATTATTATAGAGATAGATAAAAAAAAAAAAAATTAACAAACGCGCGCAAGATTGTGAGAAATTTTTCATTACTATATAGACAAATGTAAATATAATTATACATATAAATATATAAAGATATGATTTATATTAAATAAGTCGAGATTCGCCTGCTACGGAACGTCGGTGGTTTATCATTATGCCGAAGTAATTATGCATTAAGAAAGATATCTGTTTCTTTTTTTCTCTTAATAAAAAAAGCATGGCGTACTGAACGTGAATAGCGCATCGAAGAAAAAAACGAGAACTGCAAGATGTTTTTCTTCGTCCAAACGATTTCACATTCCTACTCTGAATTTCTTACACTCTAAACTTCGAATATGAGAGTTCGGTCCGAAGTTTATTTTATTCTAAATATATTCGCGGAATTTTCATTTTTATATTTTTTCCTTCATTGCTTTGAAAAAAATTAAGAGAGAAAAAAAAGCAGGATGAAATCATGAGAAAATTACTCAATTTCTACAGTCTTTCGTATAGAAGAGAAGAATAATCTTTCTTTTAATTATTTATAGATCACATTTTTTTTGTTAAAAACATTCTTTCCTTTCATTTATATATTTACAGTTTTTTTTGTGTAAAGACAAATGGAAGTTAACGATAATCATTTCTTCATACGCTTGATCTTATTGATTGCTCCTCTCCTCTTGATTGTTTTTCTCGACTGTGTTACACAAAGTAGTAGTTAATAGTACACACTCGTCTAATAAATCATTCATACGGAAATACCGATCATACGCCTCGTTGTAGAGCTTCCTTTTCTCTCGGTTTAATTAACGCAAATTCGCACAAAATTGTCGCGATAATCGCAACAGTTGTCGCGTATTCTCTCGTTTCCGTGCAATTAGATCCGCCAATTCCAGGCCACGCTCGAGAGTATCATCGAACCACTTTCGACATATGTATCGGTTTCAACCAATTACTCGTTACTTGGTCACGTGTCTATCGCCACGTGTATATTTCACTTACAATAGATGGATAAAAATAAAAACGAAATGTATATAAATGTATGAGCGCTTTGTGTTCCCCTTCAGAGATTGTCTAGAATTTTGTAATCAACAGGAAGTAAATTTTGCTTAAACGTATTTAAATGAAAAAATATCGGATTGATTGAAAGATATCGCATTGATTTCGATAATAATTTATTTATCTACAATAACTTCCTGTTTCGCAAAAAGTGATCGATAGATTATTGACAGCGAGTAACAATAATTAACTAAATTACGAAGGATAATTAGCATTATAAGCTCCAACATTGCACACATTCGATAATATTACAATATACTTTCACCTGTATACAGAGTCGAGATTACACTTGTGACTAGAATACTAAAGTAACTACGAATTAAATCTCTTATTAAGCTGCGTAAATCGTTAATTATCAATTAAACACGTAAACTTCTGATTCCAATTTATATGGACGAAGTTGTGCAAAAGATGCTTCTTTTTTGACAAAATAACTATCTTTCTCGTTCTATCTTCTAAATGCAATATTATATTGCATCTACGGTGACAAATCAAGTATTACGTTATTATGTTGCTGTAGTATTGTAATGATATCGATTATATAGAAATTCTGTCATTCATTAAAGAGAAGATGCAAACTTTCGTAAAATGTTAGTACATTAAACGTTTTATTGATTTTTATTTGCAAAGAGAATAAGCGGCTATGACTATCGATCAACTTCATAATTACATATTTACATTTTTACGTTCAATCATCATTTAATATGCCTGACATGTGCAAGAGGGAAAACGATCGTAAAACAAAAAACTTTCCAAGGGCAGAAATGTTTATAACCGATTGACTCCCTCTCTCCCTCCCCTTATTCTTATCTTAGACAATTTTTACACAAGAACAAGTTTTAAACACAACACGTAAAACTATATAATACATCGCCTAAAGAAATACGCGCGAGCACCTTTTGTTGTGTAAATTACTGTGTAAAGTAAAAATTGTTGAAAAATCCAAACCTCCAATTAATGCACGAGCAATTAACTCCGAAGATAATTAAAGATATTTTGAAACACTTGAAATTATAACTTATTAACACTCACGATACAAGATAAGTAGTTTGTCGAATTGTTTCTTCAAGCTCGCTTCTCAGATCCAGAAATCATCTGGAGATCTTGGAGATTAAAGTGGGCAACCGTGGACGTAGGTGACATTCCGGAAGAGTGCGGCTGCCGTTGACAGAAATGCCGTCGTGGAGGCGGTGGACGGTGCCGGCGGCGGCGGCGGCGGTGGCGGCGGATGGCTGGTTTGCGATTGTGTGTTATATGGCGAGCAATAAGCATCTATGCTGCCGTGATGAAGACCGATGCTCCGCACCAAAAGATCCTTTTCAACGGTGGCCTGATGACGTAGCTGCTCCAATCGCAGCTGATTCTGTCGCTTCCACTTTGTCCTGTGAAACATTTTCCTACTTTAGTTTAAAGATTAAAGATATAGGTTTATAACACGATTAAGAGAATTAAGAATCTATTACGGACATCAATGTGATAATCAACTGTAGATATAAAAGTTTATTATTAAGTTTTTCCGGTTTTCAGTTTTAGAAAAGTGAACAAGTTAGCAGCTATGAATGTTTTAAGATTATTAAAATATTAAAAAATAATTATTTGCGATCAACGATGATAATATTTCGATCAAAACGTTTGCATTAAAGAAAAATTGATTTCAAATTAATAAAAATATTCGAATAATTCATAATTTTTTTGTTAACTGCGGCTAGAATATCTTTTTAGAATATTATTTTTAGTACACAGTATACTATAATTCTATCGTGTACATAACATGTATGAATATACATATATAATGTGTATAATATATGTAATTATACACATTATAATGTATATAATATATATGTATTAGAATGTATAATGCATATATGTAAATTATAATGTATATCATATATAATATATGTATATATTATGCTAATATATAATAAAAACTTAATACTATAATCAGCAAGAAAATGATGAGCAAAGATATGTATTATACTATTAACTATCTCTGTGAAGAACTCATATATTATTATTCTCATAAATATTAAAGTACTTAAAGTTACAATAAAAAATTATATTGTCTTCATGATAAATTTCTAGCTTTACCTTCTGTTTTGATACCAGGTCTTCACTTGTGTTTCTGAGAGCGATAAAGCGTCAGCGACATCGCTACGGTCCGCTACGCTGAGATATTTCTGACAACGAAATTTCCTCTCAAGATAAGCCAGTTGAGCATGAGTAAAGGCGGTTCGTCGTCTTCGTGGTTTTCTATTAGTCGGTGGTGCATTATTAGCCACTCCGCAAGACTTTGCAGATGTGCTTGCTGGACCTGGCGACGGCGAATGTACCGATGGCGGACTTCCTAAATGCGTGCAAGGACTGCTGCCAGGATCGATAGTATCCTCGGAATCTGAATGGACGGCTGAATCATCCTCTGAATCTTCTGCAACATATTTTTGTAAAATATATTTTTCTACTTTTTTCAAAATAATTTTCCTTGAAAGTACTTTTAATAATAATTATTAAACATTAAGCGCGATGATAAAAGTATTAGTTTTCTGTAATAAAATTATTGCGTATAATAAAGCATAGTTTTATTATAAGAATCTTTAAATTCAGAAACTAATCAAAACTTTTCGCGCACATTTTTTAATTTTAGTCAATTTTAATTAACTAATCTATGCTTCAATATTTAAAAAAAAATAAAAAATTTTCCAAAAATCAAGTCAATTAATTTGACTTCTTTGAAAGATTCATTTTATCTTTATTTATTCCACGATTTAGTTCATGTAACATAAACACAGTTTCAAATTTCCAAATCTTTTATAATATAATTTCATTGTATATCTATATTATTAATACTTATTGTTTTCTTAGAGTTTAGAGAGAAATATATGTATTCGAGAGAATACACGTGAAACAACACGCGTGTCTCCTTCATTACTTTGTACTAACAGCTATTTTCTGACTGATCCAATTGCCGAATTCGATCGGTCGAGCAAAATCTATTATCGAAACAATAATCCAACGAACCCCCGACCGATCGTGATCGATTTCGGTTAGAGCAAACCATCTGAATTAGCAAGACCTGCTTGCATCCCCCTCTGGATTAGCCAATAGACTCGCGATGACGCGCCGGGGGTAATAATCTTCGATGAAAGTCCACGAACTAACGAGCTCTAACGAATCTTTCGGCACCTCGAACCATCTGTAGAATCGTTCTTAATGGGGCACCACCTCCGAGGGGGTTAGTCACCCCTGGTGGCTCTATGTCGGTGATTTAAATAATAGGAACACACCACGGGGTCCATTTTCTAACGAGAATTTTGACGATCCGCCACGTGTCTAGAAATGTTTGCGTGAAAAAAAATTCTCGTCTCAAATTAATAAACAGAGTCTGAAATCGATTAAAGTAAAATTTACACGACAATTCTATATGTGATAATATTAATGATAATGTTTATCTATTTTTTTAATTAGGCCTGTTTAAATATTCACTTTCAAATCGAAATATTACGAATGCAATTAATTTCTCTTGAGAAACTATTGAATAAAATTTATGAATGTATATGAAATTAACGTATGACATAATAATTTCAGGCATTTAAAAAGATAGTGTGATTGAATTATTCTAACTTATATTAAAACACACTCCATTTTAAGACTTTATCAAAGAGAATGCAATTGAAATGAATTATTTATATCATCAAAGATTAATTCACATATATTTCTTCCATACATAAAAATAATATTAGACCCTCCTCATTGCAATTAAGTTTCTTTCTACATATATAAAAATGATATATAATAATGTAATCTTTTTATAAAAATAAAAAACGAAAACAACTGTAGATCTTAAGTAAATTATAACAAATTGTTCAATTGTTAATTGTTGATTGTTCATTTTGTTCGTGTAATAATTTATTTAGGATTTCCGCTATTATATCGCTATTGTTAACTATTCCACTGCGTTTTAAATACCTTGGACACGGTCGGCCAACACGTCCCCCAGAAGATCCCTGATTAGGAAGGACTTGTGCTCCTGCATCATCGCCATGGGCGAGGTAACGCACTCACGACTCTCACAATCCTTAATCGAGATTGCACCTATACGTACGAAGCAACAATCAATCGCGACGAGTTTGCAGGAGATACATCGACACCGCGACAAGGAGACCCGATTTTCATATACTACCGTGCAGACGCTCGGCGTCCTTCTGCGTCGAGGCTGACCAGAAGCGTTCGCGAACTTCGTTCTTATCGTTCTCTCAGTGAGATGAAACACGCGGGGGATGAAGACATACACAGAGGACAGCTCGCACAAAAGTTGGTATGCGGTCGACATGGAAGAGGGGAGAAGGTGTACTTGCTCGCGTAACCCTTCGTATTTTTCCCCGCGACACCCCTCAAATTAATCCGCCCGTTTATTTTGAACGGGCTGCCTAATGCCCGCGCGATTTCGCAGCCATTTTGGAGGTGGAATGCGCCATGCTCGCCCCACTGTAAATACCAGTAGCGTCTCTCTTATTGGTTCACCGAGACTAGGACGTGGAGGCAAAGAGACGAAAGCCCGAGGTCGTCATTGGTCGGAAGACTCCATGGAGCCAGTCCCTCTTCCTACACCTGTGAGTCTCGGTATCTCGGTGCCCGTTTCGATTTAAGTGGATCCGGATAAGGGATGCGGAGGGATGGTGATGGTGCACTGAAAAACGAGGATAGAAGTTATAGGAGGGAGAGAAAGCAGATACGGGGGTAAGAGAAGAGAGGGAAGTCATTGGCGAGCGATTACTGCGAAACGTGGGGAGGAACAAATTGAATGTGAAACTTTTCTTGCGGGCGCACCGATATAGCTGGCTTTCTATGATTTCGGTGCTTGAAAGAGGGATACTCACTCTTGCCGAGTTACTGCTGTTATCAGTCTCGTCGGTTTTCTCTTGTTGGCTTCTCGTTATGGAACTCCAAGAGGAGCCTGACGCGGCAACAGTCAAGCATAATAAATCTCTGAGAGAAACCACATCTCTGGGGTGTATTTATATTTTTAATATATTACTCCAAACTATTGTATATATATATATCCAATGCGCATACAAATTGTGCAATCTGTAACATAAAACATGAATATTAAAAATATTTCTATTTTAGTATGCAATTTTGGGGCATTTTATTATTATATTAATATATAAATAATATATTAAAATATTTTATAAATTATATAAAATCATTTTATAATTTAAGTTAAAAATTATGTTGTGTATTGCATTATAAAAAATATAATTTTTGTATCATAACAAATTATGACAAAAAACATATCTATGTATATAAAATAATAATTATAGATTAATTATTATTCATATGTGCGTTACTGTGCATTATTTATTATCTACATATTTGTGTGTAATATATAGAAATGTAAAAAGCTGAATCATAAAACTGGATATAAAATATAAATATATTTGAAAAATTTGGTGAAAAATGTCTAAAAAAAACTTGGATTCTCCAGAATTGATATACATATTTGCTTTTTTTCTTCTCTCTCGACTCGATTATATCTTTACAACTCTAGAATTTGTTACATCATTACTGGTAACAAAATGCCCGAAATATTACATGAAAATATATACATATATAAATTAAAAAAATATATGTAAATACATAAATATATAAATTTAAAAAAAATATACATATATTTTTACTTTTCTTAATATGAAATTGTAAGATATTTTCATTTATAAATCCTATAAATGTTATCGGCAGAAAGCGAAAAATCGAAGCTGTCAAAAATTTCTCTCTCTCTCTCTCTCTCTCTCTCTCTCTTTCTCTGATAATAAGATCAATTCGTGAATAACTCGGAATAACGCAAGGTGCAACGCGGATGCGCATCGACATTTGCATAAATACATCCTTCGCAGATCCCTCTTCTCATGGCAAACCACCCCGGCTTGCCAGAAGTAGTTTGCGAGTGTAAATATGCATGATGCGTGTATGCAATCATTCTGAGAGAGTTCCGTGTCTCCTATATCTCTCGTTCCTCTTGCATCACTCGCGTATCTCCGCGAGAGCCGACTCTCCTCCTCCCCTTTTCTCGCTATATCTCTCCCGTCGTGCATACTGTTAGTCTATTCACTGCACTACCACTTACCCCTTTTTAAGCACCTACTGACATGCGGCCGCATAAACTTGTATACGTTTGGATGCTGCGTCGTGAGAAATTATCCAGGGTTGAATTCAGCGAGATGCGCGCCGCGTCGTTGAGTAAAGCTTGTGTGTAAGAAAAGCCGTATTCTCTTTATCGGATATCTCTTGGCAGAATACACGAATCAGATGACATGATTGAAATCAGCGATCTCAGAGCAACGACCATTCAATCAAGATATATGCGATACGAGTCGAGAGGAGCTGAAAGAAAAATAAACTTATTTTACTGTCAAGAACGAACATAGTGTCGGTTTGACAACACGTCAAGACTCTTAGACACGTTATGAGAGACTGATTTATTATGATGATTGAATTATTATTAATATATTATACTTATAATATATTATTTATAATTTATATATTTTATTACATTATAACATAACATTTAGATACGTTATAATAATAATTTTTTATAATTTTAATATAAAAAGTTATAACAAGAAAAATAAATAAAATTTCTTCCTAGGAATCTTATTTATTTCTGAGTTTTGCATAAAACGCGTGCGAAGAGGGAAAAATGAGAAGAGAAAATATTAATAATTTATCTATATCAATCAAAAATCTGCGATCGTTTTTCGATAGTTTTATCGCATTCAACGATTCTCAAATTCCGCAAAAATACCCCAGCGCATAGCATTAATTAAGGCTCCAATTAATTCTGATCGTTCACGCGAACTCACCTCGATGCAAGTAAAGTCAGCGACGGAATAGAGTGGATGTTTGTCCTATCCAAATTTTCAACCGCGTGGCGTCGCATAAAGTCATCGATCTTAAACGTAAGCTCTATCACCGATGTAGAAACTGACTCTACGTACGAGACGCCCTTCGTCAAGATTGACGCGCGCGCGTTTCGGAATTCATTAGGTTTAATGTATGCGGCAGATTAATTCAAGGGGCAGCAAAGCGGCCAGGCGTCTCCTTTATTATGGGCGTGGAAAAAAGGGCGGCGAGAAGGATCGGAATAAATGCATGCCGGGATACGAACTAAATTGAAAATCGTCGAGAAACGCGAGAAACAAGGGTCTACCAAAGATTCAAGTGATCACTGAACCGGAGACAGAAAAAAGACTAAGCGTCAAAAATGAAAATTCGAGGACGCGAGCTACGTTTTTTCTAAATAATATTCTTTGTTTATATTATTTTCTGTAATTCTTAATTATTTTCTATATATAATGAATTGATAAATGTTATATTATTTAAAATAAATGTAGAATTTAAATTTATTTAAGAAAAAGTATGCAGAAAGGTAAAGTACACTCTTTGTATCATTCATTCATTTTAAATAATTAATATAACTTTCAATCAATTCATTACACATAGAAAATAAAATAATTAAGAATTGCAGTTATAAAAATAAAATATAATAAAATATACAATTATGTGTAATATAACACTCATGTTGACATAATTATTGTAAGATTAATCGAAAACAAAATAGCTGCGTCTTTGGAACAATGTTCTAAATAATCGTGTAATTTTCAAATTTCAATTATAGTAATTTAGGGAGCTTCTTTATACAAAAAAGAGTCTTTACGTGACCATGTGCACAAGAGAAATATTAATAGCGGAAACAGTTTATCGCATTTATCGTGTCCTGGATGAAGACAAATTAATGATAATAAGAGCGAAGGGGCGGTTCGCGTAGAATTAGCTACAAACCATAACTCCCGCTGGCTGATCGTTATCGGCAATTTGCGACGTTTGCTCCACCCTCGTGGGATATCCGAGATCTCATCTCAGGGCGCTCCTCTTCTGTCTGTTTCGCATCACTACGCGTTTGTGTTGTACAAATGGGATTTTGTTAGCGAGAAATCATCTCTTCGCGACGAGAATTGACCTGGAAAATAAATTACGCATCAATTTTAACGCAGTATATTAACATGAAATATCGTTTTAATACACATATACATTGTAATTAATAAAATTCCACCGATCGATATATGCGGTTATATACCGAAATAATATATAATTGCAGAATTTGTCTAGCTATCTCAATTTCTTTTTTTTATGGAATCGTAGATCGAAAAAACCGGTCGCTGAAACTCAATGGGCTGAAAATTCTGTCTATAGCGTATTGACAGCACAAATCATCCTAGCGCGAATAACTAAATACAGATGAAAGATAAAGGACAACGAAGGGAATCATGCCGGAGCGATTTAAAACAGAAGCGATAACGAGTACAGCTCCAACGAGATGCAATGCGAAGAACCTCGAAAATCGTTAACAATCGCGGCAAGCGTAAGCAGGATCCATTGATGTGCGACCGCGCGTGTGAATATAACTGCCGAAGTGAAGTTTCCGTATGAAGCGGCATCGTCCAGCTCGTATACTGAAGCTTTTACAAAGCGACCAAAGCCCTGCAACTTTACCCGAAAAAAGCCATTGCTTTTTCTTTCAATGCTCTTTTTGACACAATGTTTTTATTAATTACTTATCATTAGCATTGATCAGAATAAAAAAGGTAATTTAAAAACTAATAAATATTAGAGTAATACATATTAAATATATTAGAGTATGATCTCTGATCTCTTTCCTATTATATATTTTACGCTAACTTACAAAACTTGGAATTTAATGTGACGTTAATAAATATGATAAAATTTTCAAGATTTTAAGCATAAGTAAATTTATAAGATTACAAGATGATGAAATATTGCCTCGGAAACAGTAACGCATCGTCTTGGAATGCGTTCTCTGTAGAAATCACTTTATACGTACCGTAACTCGATGTGTTATTCTGTCGCCGCATATACGGGCTATTGTATTTCCCTTATAGAGAGGTGAAGACACTCTCGAAGAATGATGGTTATGGGAAAAGGAGTGCTTGAACACGAACGTTGGTCAGGCCCCTGCGGTTCCAATTACGATTGAAAGGCGCTCCTGTTTGTTCGCCTTCTATAACTGCGGAGGCTCTTCAGAGCCTCGTAGAACCGTACTCTAGGTCCCGTGGCCACTTTCGAGCTCGATGAACGCGTTTCCATAGCAAATATGCGATTTTCGTCGCGGCTTCTTTCGCGAGAAAGACTCTATATATTCCGGCATGTGGAGACAATTAACGCGCGATCTTCGCCAAGAGGAGGTTGAATAAATGTTGTAAACTCTGATTAGACAAATCTTCATCCTGTAAAAAAAAGTTTTAGTCGTCAGATATACATTTTAAATCCTATCAATAATCTCTTTAATATTATTTAATATGAAAAATGCAGATAATAATAAAGATAAAAAATAAAAAAGAAATATATAGTATATAATAAGATATATAAAAAATATAGATAAAAATAAATAAATTAAATATAGATAAAGGATGAAAATAAATTGTCAGAATTATCATGACATTCTACATCCTTTTATATCATATAATAGTATATATTTATGTACTCTTGAGAATGCATACTGACTGAAATAAGAAAATCAAATGGGGAGGTCTTCTGGATTCGTTAGATTCAGCGCATTACATTTCCATAATGCACTTTCACGATGTCAGAAAACAGGGCGGTGCTGAAACGTACCGATTACCCGACGTAACCGCGTTCCTGCTTTCGTGCAAAGTGCCGAGTAATCAAAGGAACGATTGTCGTCACAAAGGTGCTTGATTGGCTCGTTTATGCTACGGTAATACCGGATGACACATAGAACCCTGCGGAGATACAAGTATCTCACCCTCCTTTCAACGAGGTTTCATGAAATCGCGCGTGTATAGGCAGCATTAAACACAGGTGCCTCGATCAAATTTCATTAACAAGTTGTAAAATTTTAAAAAAAGTATTTTAAATAACACAATATAAATTACACAATAATCTCAAAACATGTCAATTATATTTATATGTTCGTATTAAAATATATAATATTTGTTTTTATCAAACTAGAAATATATTTATACATATTTTATCAATGCAAATAATACAACTGTCATCTGTCAAAAAATTTATAAAATCAGGTATCACACCGACTAGATCGTATACGTATCATAATATTTCGAGAACGTTTTTACTTTATCGTGATCTTACACCCTTCCCCCATATCATCATCACTGTCTAACAATCGGCCTTATGAATTAAGATCAACGCGCTATCGAGGAGAGAGATCTCGCGGCTGAAATCCCAGGGGGAAGCAGTGGCGTGCGAGGAGGATGATGTCCCGTGGAGTCTCAGTGTATCAGCGCGCCGAAGTTAGGAGGGTGACTTGTTTACTAGCGACAGTTGATTTGACAAAGCCGCGGGTCCATTTATACGAGCGAATATTACAGGAGCGCAGTCGAGGGGCGGCTTGTTATCCGCTCATTGAAGTTAACCACGGGGCTAAGTGCGCGCGGGGATGACGGCGGAGGCGGAGGCGAGGGTTGGAGAGGATCGGTAGGGGGTTGGAGGGCGAAAGCATCCCCGTGGGTAAGGTAGGGAGGGAGAGAGAGGGTGGAGAGGTGAAGAGGAAACGGAGGTAGAGAGAAGCGGTTTGCGCGAAAGCCCGCGAGCCAATAAAAGGCCGGATCGCGTCGCCGCAGAGTAAATCCCACGGGGATGCTTTCCGCCGGATTATTCGACCGAGATTGAAAAGTTAGCGCTGGGCTAGTTCGTGGCCTATTCACCCCGCCGCCCCTTTGTATATACATATATCCCGCCGGTTATACATGAAAAATGGCAGAGCTGAATTTCTACAAAATTTGCAAATTGTCAGAAGTGCAATGTGAGAAAAACTCTCATTTTATATTTAATAATCAAGCTTTGAAATTAGCTATTTTGCCATTCATTATTTCACATTTATTTAACATTATACGGAGATAATTCAGTCATGAAGAGTTAGTAAAATAGAGAAATTTAAAAATATTAATTTTGTTATCTATAATGTCTGTGTCAAGCTCTTACTAACTCTTTTTCATGACTGAAATTATACGGAAAATTATAGATAAAATGTATCTCACCTCATTTCGAATTGAATTTTAATGACGAATATTTTATTATGACAACTCTTTTCCTTGACAAACGTCATCATTCCTTTTTTTGCGAGTTCTTTATTTTCAACGCTGAATGTCGCAGTCTCCTTAATTGAGATAAAATCGCAGCAAAAAGTTGCAACCAAGCCAAGTCGACCGTGCACCTGAAAGATATTTACTTCTGTATAACGCCGTGATGTCTGCGTTGCTTACCTAGCTTAGTAAGCACTTTGGGATTCTCTGACACGTGGATAATTAATACCCGCGATTCGGGCCGGCGTAAATATTCGCGAGGTCGGTCGCAAAAATACAGTGTAGAAATATTATAAATAAATAGGAAGAAAAAATTGCCCGAATAAAATCACGCACAAATGTAATATACAATTAATTTCAAACGGATTTCTTTCAACAGAGCTTTAATTATATAAGTAAATAATTATAATATAATAAAATAAAATTTAATAAAAAATTTAAGAAGTTGTAATAAAATGATAATTATTTATCAGATTTTAATTACAGAAAGAGTATAAAGTTTTGAGCTATCTATAATAATCAATAGAAAGCGTATAATTTCTTTATATATTTTATATGTGTTCATTTGTATATGTTAAAATGTAAAAAAAGAAAATCTCGGAAAATTCATCGGAAGCAAAAGAGATATGATGCTTTTGAATAGATCGATGAAAATGAAAGAGGGCGACGAAAGGAAGAAAGTTTCCGGATAACCGACGCGGAAATACGCGGGTAATGACTACTTTCTCATATCTTAATTACGGAATAATTAATTGGAATGTTTTGTCGTATACGCGAAGAGTGCTCGACTAAAATGAGATGCGGCGAATAAGGCTCTGTTGCTTTTTCCTCCAACGAAAAGGAATATCTCGCTTTACGCGGCAGAAATTTCTTTCTTTTCGCGTTCTAGGTGATTGTAAGCGTGAGAAATTATATAGGTAGGAGAAACACTCTTCTCGCGGAGCAAATTCCCGGTTAATTAATTCCTATGGAAGCTTAATTGATCTAAGTTTCGGCAAAAGATTCATTAAATTAATTCTATGAAGTATATTCGTAGAAATACGGAATAATCACATTGATAAAGATATAAGAGCATGTTAATAGATTTTAGACTCGGTTAATTTCTCAATTAACAAAGGAGAAGAATACGAGAAACAAAAGTGTAATTAAATAGCAATTGTTTAGCTTTCTAGACATGCTTCTTTCTTATAATTATTTTAGCATAAAATTTGATATAGAAATGCATTATCCGAATTGTTTCCTCACAATGACGTTAAAATTTGATTTTCTTGATTCAAAGAAAAATTAACTAAAAATAATTAATAATTAATAATTAACTAATATACTTTATAGTATTATAATAATTAATATAATAATTAACTAATTTTATTTTATATTTTAAAACAGATATACAATAACGTATATATTTATTTGAAAATATAAAATAATATTGATTAATTTTTAATTAACTTTTTTATAAAAAATAGAGAGATATATGTATATCAACATATATCTATCTCTTCCGTTTGCCAGCTCCAGCGTTTTCTGTTAGTCGCGCATCGTTTCCACCCAGTGATTGTGTCAATATCTCGAAACGCCCTTCGGACACTTCGTTATTCGTTATCGTGACACAATCGCTGTGTAGTACTAATGGAACAATAGCGAGAAAGCCAGAAAAAGTTAGATCGCGCGCTGACGCAAAGTGAGGACGTGCCTTTGTTAGCATTCAATTGTTCTCTCTTTGTTCCAGACATTGTTTCCGGTAACTCTTTCGCAGTAACAAGGAAGAAGCTCAATTAGAACAGTTTGAGGACTTAAACGCCCAGAGGCTGCTGCTGGTTTAAGAGAGGCAAAGATGAGACGCTGACACCGGGTTTCAAAACATTGTTTTACCGCGAGCAGATTCTCTTAATCGCGCCAGCGCGCGTTATTGATTATATGCCAGTTTTACGAAGAAGATAAATTGTTTCGAGCGCAAAATTTACATTATATATTTAAATGTCATATAAGTATTTAACCGCTCGCTTAAATTAATAAATTCTTAGGCCCGGTTCCACAACTCGCTTTAACCGAAGTTTAACTCGTTAAACCTAATCACTAATCAGGATTGGTTCATAACAAGTTAAACTTCGGTTAAAGAAAAGAGTTGTGGAATCGGGCCTTAATAATTAATTCATTTGAACGAAAAAAATTAAATTTCTCAGAGCTATGGGAAATTCTCAACATATGACATTTAATCATATATAATTTTTCAAATATCTACCGTAATATTACGTTTGCATCAATACAATTATACATTCGAATTGTTTATACTATATAATAATATTGTAATTTAATAATATACCTATATTATATAATCAATATATTATTATATTAATATAAACGTTTAAAATATGCTGGCAATTTAGTTATCTCAGTACTTGTGTCTTGTTCATACCTAATTGTGGAAGATGTTCCTTATTAGGCGGATACCCGTATAATATAAAGGAAGTATCATAGGTTTCTGTGCGCAGGCGTTACTCCCCGCCGACACAGTAATTTTCTCCTTCTGTTATCCTGTCGCGTTGCCGTTCCTATCTCGGAACCACTGTTATCTTTCGGCCATTGCAGTAATTTCCAACGGAATAATCCAGCGAAAGGATGCCTCTCGTTTGACTCGAACCTGCACCGGGAAAACGAATTATTGATCAATGTTGTAAATATTTTTCACACCTCACCTATCTATTACTTATCATACCTGCGCACGAGGCGAGTTATCAGGATATTCGAAGTATCGGTCTGCGGTCATTCACCCTCGTCCAGACATGGAGTCCCCAGGGATGGAACAACAAGAAAGTGTCTAGGAGAAACTCCGTCCCGCGTATGATGCCCTAGTGGAAAAACAAGACCGTGCTTTGAAGCACAAATTGGGATAAATCCTGTTACTGGGTTGCAATTAGTATTCACCGCAATCAAACACCTCGTCGTTATTTAAAGTAAAGCGAAACATTCGCGGATGGTTAATTTCCCGAGTAAATGTTTGTAGCTATTCCTTTCAAAATAATGTCGCTTGCATTATCTTAAATGTAGAAAAGCGCGTAAATCTCTTTTTATTATATATGTAAACTTTTTTCTATAATATATTTTTGTGTTATATTCTATTTTCTATACATTACATTAGAATAAATAGAAATTTTTCTATACTTCTGTTATTTCTCAAAGTTTCAATCATGTGTATTATATTATATTATTGTACATTATAATATCATATATATATATGATATAATATATTGTATATTATATAATATTTATAAAAAATAAAATATTATAATGTAATTATTAATATATTTAGAATATTTCTAATTACTAATGTTTAGAAAATATTATATAAAAAAATATATTAACGTTCAATATTACATTTAATGTAAAATCATAGACAACTCTGTCGGGGAGAGGCCACTCGCGCGTACATGATTGTGCGAATCCGTTTATCAGGATGGAGTAAACAGTACGGTTGTGTTGCACCGCGATCGAATGTGTTGGTGCATGCGTCACCGATACAGAGTCGTATGTTGTAGCGTTATTGGAAATATGCTCGAATATTTGGATATTTTTTCGGGCTTGGCTGCGTACCGTTTCATGATCGCCTGTGATCGGCGCCTGAAATTAAGACGTACGGAAGACGAATTGCGGTCGATAATAAAAAAAGTACAGTACAATAATCTATCTATTCATCTTATTTCTTCGTCTTGACTCATCCTTTTCTCAACCCCGTCTCGCATAATTTTTACACGTGATTCTCCACCCTGTTCTCGTCCCGAGACATCCCGATCGCGAAAGCGGGATTAAGTTTATAGAAAAAAAATCTATTACATCGTCTAAGAGCGCCTTAAACGCTCACCTTTCGCCTATTCTTCCAGGTCGACGAGGCCCCTGGCTTAATATAATTTACATAGATAATTTGCAACGAAAATCACACCACGGCGTCCTGCTATCCTGGCGCTCCTGGAACACCCTCCTACTCCAGAGAATCGTATTCGTCCGGAAGCCGGAGGAGAGAGAGATCGTGAGCGTTCCTGAGTTATAGCTTCCTGGTGGTGCGAATGCTTCTGGCGCCACTCTCTTGACGAATGACAGGACGTTGACGAGCGATGTCGGGAGGATCAAGGCTCTCGCTGACGCTTTCGTCGTCGCCGGCGAAAATTCGGTGCTCGCATGCGGCCCTGTTCCGGGGGATGCTTGCCGTTCGAAAGCGCATACGCCGCGGGGGTGGAAGCTGGGGGTGAAAAAAAATCTTTCCTCACATGCTATCCTGATGCTGAGAATATTTGCGAGAAACGACCGCGTGCCGATTCGTCGTCGCGAAACTTTTGCGACTGCGATCGAAGTTTGTTTGACGGAATAATGCCTAATCAAAATTCTTCAAACGCTCGAGCTATCAAAGAGAGAGAGAGAGAGATGAATTCCTATAGTAGAGATACTAGCTCTCTTTCTCTCTCAATTTGATTTACTGTCGCAAATTTTAATATTTATTTGTGATCAATTTATTATATATAATTATATATATATATATATATATATATATATATATATATATATATATATCATTTAAATATAATATAAAATTATAATTAAGTATATTTAAGGTTAGATTGTCGACAAAACTGATATACAACTATGATAAAATTGTGATCTTTTTTTTTTAGAATAATTGGTTGACAAAGGAACATGTTCAAAATTACTATTATATTGTAGACTGAGAAAATTAAATTGTATTATGCTCATAAATAAATAATTTTGATGTCTTTATATATCTCACTCTATTCGAGTAGGTTGCTTCTACCTTCTACGAATTCCTCCGAACAAATATATATTATTGTTTCATCTCTGTATTATATAATCATACTTCTGACATATACTCACTTAATAAGAATTATAACAGGGTGGATAAGGATACAATTTCTTTAGGATATTACTTTTGGGAAGTAGAAGATCGCGAGATTTCTCGGAGATGGACCGTTGAAGTTATATCTCTTGAAGTTGTCTTCGCGTCCTTTTTCAATAACAAAAATCGCATATATATATACACATATGTATATATCTAAATATAATCATTTTTTGATAATATACAAAAAAGATAAATATTTTGGAGATAGATCTTTTGAGAGATGAATATTAAAAACATATTTTTTTATATAAAAAGATATTACCTTCCTCATGAAATTTATTTATGCGTGCGTATACTTTCCTTTGCATCGCAAGTAGAGTGAAGTCTGTCATATATGGAGGAAACATTTAGTATAGACATTCTCCGACAGGGGGCACCGTCCAACATTGTGGCGCAATCTGACACTTTCTCCCTTTCTGTGTAACATATATACATAAATACATACATATGGAATTTCTATTTAAAAACCCATTTGTATTATATTTGTAAAATGTAAATATTAAATACATGATATTATAACAGATTTGTGTATATTTCTGCAATAATTATTCACTGCCAAACATGAGTAATCCTGCAAATTTTAAGAAACACAGTACTCACTGTCAACCAGGTTAGTCCTATTATTAATTTATTACTCATTTTTATATATAAAGATAGCGCAAAGTGATAATTGATAAATTGATAATTAAAATTAATGAAGATAAAAATGTATTATTAGAATTAATAAACTGTTTCGATTATATATTAAAATGCTATATGGATGCAGAAAGAGAAAAGGAATTGTAATATTTCAATTAACACAATTATTATATTTCTCTCTTTTTTTTTTCAAGATGTTCACATAATGGGTTGCGTCGAACGAACGCAAGGAGATGGCATGGAAAATGTGATAGCGGATAAGGCTGAGAATAAGCAAAGTCGAAGTCGTCTAGGGGACACTCTCATTTATCATCCTACAAATCTAAAACAATTAAGATCGACGCCTCCAGTCACTCCTACTGGTACAATAGTAAAATTAGTGCCAAAGAATATTGATAATACAAAACAGGAGAGACGTATCTTGCATTCCTTAAAGTCAAAAGAACCAAAATTTGTACCATATGAGCCTTACAAGGCAGCTGTTAATCCAATAGTACCGCTTGAAAAAAAGAACAAGAAATTATCTAAGAATGAGTCGCGCATGAACGCTACCATTGCACAGGTTGCTGCATTGAAAATCCAAGATAATGATATGAGATTAAAAGAAAGTGCAAAAGAAGATAGAGAGAAAGTATTGGAAAATGAGTGGGACAGTGAGAAACGAGCTTATGAGGCTGAAATCCGCAAGTTGAAAGAAGAAAACAGTCAACTTGAAACTCAGTTGAAGTTTCAAGCACAGGTATAAAATAGTTATCTGCTTCAACAAAAAATTTCATATTTAATATTTATAATTTATAAAATAATATAAAAATGTATATTCTCACATATATAGGTCAATGGTGAATTAAAGAACTTATTGGTCGCTGCAGTAGGAGAGGATCTGGAAACAAGAGTTCATTTATTAACTGAGGACAAATTGCAACTTGCCAGAGCCTTACTAAATTCGGCCCAACATTTATCTACACATCAAGAACAAACAGAATGGCTGGCAGGCCAATGTGAAGTTTGGAGAAGTAAATTTCTAGCTAGTAGGTAATTGAAAATTATTGCTACTATTATATGAAATTGGTATAATTTCTATTCTAATTTTTCTTCTAAAATTTCTAACAGTATTTCATGAAACTAAAAAATTCAAATTTTAATAAAACAATAGTGATGTCGTTAAAACAAAACTTATTACAGCTTAATGGTGGAAGATTTGGCAAGATGGAAAGCTGCACTTTGTCAGAGAACAACAGAACTGCAAGAAACCATAAAACGATTGTTAGAAGAACATAATATTATTCGTGACACTTCCCTTAAAACATATAGGTACATATATGTTTTATATGCATATTACATAAATTTTATCAAATTAATTTGTTTCTGTAATTCTATGTAAGTTTTATTCCCTTAGAATGCTCACGATCCTACGAGAGAAATTTGATCCTATAGGGACATCCAGCAAGAAACACGAATTAGCAAGTACTAATATTATAGATGTGGCACAGGGATGTTGTCAAGTCACAGAAATCCTGAAAGTCAGTCTTCTCAGTGGTATTCCAGATTCAGAATTACAGAAGGAAATTAATATAATTGGTTTAGATATGAAAACACTCGCTGAAAACAATGCAGAAAAGGTAAAAACTGCTCGAATATGTAATATTTATAAAAAGATATATCAATATTGATTAAAAAAATTCATATTTAAATATTGTAGTTGTTAATGAATCAAAAACTACCAATGACCGGAAGAGAGGATATTGCTTGTTCCGCGGTGATGGGGGCGGCAGTTGCAGTAGGGGGACAAATGTTTCTTCCACGATGTGACACAAATAATATGACATGTTGTCCGCATTGCAGTGGCGAGATTAAACAGATTTAAAAACAATTCCACTTTTACATCTTCCATCTGTGACACTTTTTATTAAATATATCAAATATTTTTGTTCTATTTGATTTCTGATTAAATGTAGTTGTAATTATTTAATTTGAAATTAACAATTATTTTTTTGATAATATTTGTGCAAAATATTTAATATTTACTAATATTTAATCTGTAATTATATCCATAAATTATTTTAACTGGAAAATAATATATATTAATAAAAATAATACACAGGTAAAAGTCTAAGATATAGTCATATCTATAAACAGATGATTTAAACAGCCTTTTGGTCAGTTTTAAGTTCTTAAATGTTAAAAATTGCTGCTTGGAATTAAGTCTCAAAGTTTTTTTTTATCATTTAGTTGTTTAATGCAATTATCTTATTATAAAATGTTGATTTGTTAATTTTGGAGAACTATGTGAATATGCAGATATATATAAAATATTTTATTTTAATCGACATACAATCAAAGATATATATGTATGTATGTATATTTATAGTATATAAAAATTATTGTAATATGTATAAAACTTTCTTCATAAAAGATCATACAAACATATAAGAATTTGTGCGCATGGATGTGCATATAATAAAATTTTGTACATTTTATAGCCTTTAATGATTATCATTTATGATTATGTGTATGTATATATGTATATATACACATAGACACACGTATATTATTTTTATATTCCCGTTTGTAAAAGGAATTTTATTTTTTGAAGACACATTGCTGCTTTCGATTAGATCCTAGAAATTATTTCTCTTTTATCATTATGTTCTATAAATATGTATTATTTAGAAATGTATCTACATATTTTATTATCTTATAATAAATAATATCCAGTAAAATAAAAATTACCTTCAATTTAAGCATATCCTGCTTCCATTCTCCAGAACCAATACTTTTTACTGATTCTAGTAATACGTTTGTTATTTTATCAACATTTTGTTTGAATACAATAACGACATCAGCTGCATGAACATTATCTTCACAATCTCTCCAACAATCGTAATCAGTTGCCATTGCTACAGCTGCGTACAAGATACCTGCTTCTTTTGCCAGGAATACCTAATTTGTAATATTATAAAATATAAATGTTATAACAGTCTTATTCTGAAGTGTACATAAGTATTAATTTATATGTAAGATTATTGTGATATATATACCTCTGGACATATAGTCATGTTAACTAAATGTCCACCCCAGAGACGAAAAGCATTACTTTCTGCTTTAGAGGAAAAACGTGGTCCTTCAATGGTTACTATGGTCCCACCCTTTCTTATATTATATCCTAACTTTTTTGCTGATTGTATCAAAATTTCTGATGTTCGTGGATCAAATGCAGGCTCCATTGGTATATGGCATACTCCTATAATTTTACAAGCAATATATTTTTTATTTGTCTGTGAAAAATATATAAAATACAAAAATAATAAATGCAAAATATACTTACCGCTATATTTAACAGATGTTCCATCATAAAATGTATTTTTCTGGCAAAAGTTCTGTCTATAAAGCTGTCAGGCACAACTAATTGTCCTCTACTGATGGATTCTGTCAATGATCCACATGCAGTAGATGCCAATATATGGGTACATCCAGCAAGTCGCAATGCTTCTATGTTAGCACGATAATTAACTCCAGTAGGATTTATCTTATGTCCTGCGCCATGTCTATATCATGATAAAATAGAGAAGAATGTTATCAATTATAATATAAATTTGATAAATAAATTAAACATATCAAATGTGATAAATGGATAAAGAAAACAAAAAAGTATTTGATATGAAATTAGGATAGTCAAAAGGCCTATATAAGTAAAAACTAAAACACTAATATTAATGTATAACTCGACATAATTTTTTTAGGAATAAATGTACAAATCATGAATCAAAAAACTTGTTAAAAATTTTAGTTATTAGTTTTACCTGGATAATAACACTACATTTATTCCATCAATGGATCCATAGTAAAGATCACTAGAGGGATATCCAAAATCATTTTTTGCATTCTCACGACTTATGGTATTGGTACAATTGAATGATCTGTGAAGACAATCACCCAGACCTGAGCCACCTATTACTCCTACCTAAGATTAAAAAATATAAATATATTATAATAGCAACAATTCTATATTATTTTACATTAAAAAAGTTTTAGATATATTGCAAACCATAGCAATATGTTAAAATATTTCTCCATGTTCACATATACATTTTTTAACTCAAAATCGTTCTTTTCAATTATATATCAATTATGTATCTATTTTTATAAATATTATTATTCTTAATTGCTTTAAAAATGTTAAATAAGAGAAAAAAAAGTATATATAAATTCATGTTATTTCTTTTATATTTATCATCTTTCTTTGATTACCTTAAAATGGCTAATATATTTCAATTATAAAAATATAAAATACGTTAAATTAATGTGTGTGTACACATATGTTAAATCTATTATCCTTATCCTCCAGAATTAGATTTCAGATATTGAATTTTTATATTAATAATGTTGTGGATAGAGAGAGAATAAAAGATTTTTACCTTAATTTGATTCGCCATATTAGATATTTGATTCGTTGTTTGAATTTGCAATATAACTATTTAAAAATAATGTGTAATGCTTATTATATAACTCTTCTTCGATTTCGACAGACACCCGGCTGATTAGATACGATAGAAGATAGAAGAGATCAACTGAGTTCAAGATCAAACTTAAATTATATAAGCAAAAGAGGAGATATCTCACATCTTGAGCTGCACAATCGTTTTTATCAGAACAGAGAATTTATTTTTCGAACGTTGGCAGTCTTTAAAATAACTTCACTTTTTTACCGCTTGAGGTCTCTGAAATCAACTTGAAGTTGTTGATTGGAATCATTCATCGGTTATTTGACAAAAATCTCAAATTTATTTTATTTTGCAAGAATTTTAGAAAAAAATTAACTCGCAAAAATGACTATGGCAATGTTGCAACGCCGTGCTAACGTAAGTATATAATAATTTTTGCGTGATATATGACAAATCGTGACTTGACCTACACTAACTCTAACCCAACTTTTCGTATGCATTATGTTTTGTAAATATATATATATATATATATATATATATATATATATATATATATATTTTTTTTTTTTTAAATATCGTTACATAAAAGAAGTGTCATATTGCTATTAAATGTAGATTTTGTGTTGCTTAGGTACGGTTACCACCCGAAGTGAACAGAGTATTGTATATCAGGAATCTACCATATAAGATTACAGCTGAAGAAATGTATGATATATTTGGAAAATATGGGGCTATCAGACAAATTAGAGTGTAAGTAATGTGTCATGGATAGTGTATTTCAATAGAGTAAAATCTACTCTGACAAATTGATTAAAATTACATTTGTTTCTCTTCTATTTCCAGAGGTAACACAGCTGAGACAAGAGGAACAGCATTTGTTGTTTACGAAGATATATTTGATGCAAAGAATGCATGTGATCACTTGAGTGGGTTTAATGTATGTAATCGTTACTTAGTAGTTCTATATTATCAGAGTAACAAAGCATTTAAGCGAATTGACGTTGATAAAAAGATGGAAGATTTAGATAAATTAAAAACAAAGTATAATCTAAATGATGAGAAAAAATAATTGATTGAATATTTGTACAATATATGATTTTTTTAAAATCTAAAAGATGTTTGTGTGTGTGTGTGTGTGTGTACATGTGTTGCATATGTAATGTCTATTTATTGAAATAGTTTACATTATATTTTATATGTAACCTATTAATTGAATAGATGAATGAATGTATAATATAAATGTTAACTGTAAGAACAATATAAATAATTTAAACTTTATGTTATATATGAAATAAATTTGTATAAAATTTTCTGATAGTTTTAAAAAGTAAATTTTATATTTTTCTCCTGAATTTTAGATTTATGTTACGTAAATTATTTACATACTTTTGCTTTTTTATTTACTTTTCATCATGTGTTTATTTCATTACCACGTGACTTGTGTATATATGCTCACCTGTAATCTGTCATTGATAAGTGATATCTGTGTAACTTAATCAGCCATCTCGTTTTGATATCCGTATTTTGTAAGTCGAGCCTGATCCGTCTACATGTTAGCGACGCTTCTTTTTGTTTGCATTTAAATGTCATCATTGAATATTAGCAGCCAACTGAAAAACAATTGTTTTATTATAAAGCTTATCATTAATTATTAAACAGTAATTATTAAATTATTATTATGTTATTAATTCATTATAATACATGTTATAATGTTTAAAGAATTGAAAGAAAGAGTAGAAAAAAATATATGCAACTATTTTAGGCAATAAAATTGCTCATAAAGTTTTCATACAATTAAAATACATGCATTTTTTAGTCGATAAAAATTGTTTCTCATAAAATTAAAAGAATATATTCCGAAATGTCATTAATTTACAAAAACGTATAGCTTCACAGATATACAATTAAAAAATTCGCGATTCGTATCAAAGATTGCATTAATAGCGTAATCGCAGTATATATAGTACATACATCGTATTCCACGAGGTTGAATGCGTCGAGTACGCACGCGTGCGACGCACCATACGCGCTCATCCCGCGCGGGCGGGTGTGCGATCCGACCATTCGATTTCAGTCGAAAGTGAAAACTCTAGCTTGACGTTCACTGCACTGTCTGCTCGCTTGTTTGCGGGGGAACTTGCGGGGGATCTTCGGAGTCTCCTGATCTCTCTCTCGACGGCGCGCGATCGCGATTCTCGCATGCATCAACGTCCTTCACGACGACATTCGGAGCTTCGCGATATCCTTGCAGGACATCCGGCCTCGCGTCGCGTTTAACATTTGTATTTTGATGCCAGACACAAGGCAACGCGGCGTGACATGACGTACGATTGCTGCGGTGACAGTCGCACAGCTGGCGACTCGTTCCATGCCGGTTTGCGTAACGCGTTGCGTTTCGTACAGGAAGACCTTAAGGACTCCAGACACCGCTCCTGGATACTCTTATCTGTCATCGCCGTTATTAGTCTGCTGTTGCTCCGTCGTTGGGTTGTCCGTTCGTAGAAGATTACTCCGGTCATCCAGTGCCGAAAGTCACTAGAATATAGAGGCAAAAATCAGTACAAAAGTCAAGCGATGATGATGATGATAAATATGACACGCGTCAAAAAAATTGCCAGCCAATTCATCAAATTGTCAGCGGATAAAGTACGCGAACCACAAGAGTTGTGATAATTATTTTTTCTATCAAAGCCTTTTATCAAACCTCGGATAATAAAAATATATAAGTGCCACGAGACCCAGATCTTTGCGGAATGCAGGATATTCAAGGACTCTATCGGCGGATTAGTCGGAGACGGATTTACGTTTCGTTCTATAAAATCGCTGGAGCGTATCGCGACAAGGCGACAAGTTCGACGATACGCGATAAATTGCCGTTTTTTTTGCAGTGGCGCGAATAACTATATTCTTTTCCTCTTATAAATAAACGTCTGTAAAAAAGTCGTGTAATTGCATTATATATTTTATATTCGATCTCATGATACTTTTGTCGTTCGCTGAACGTTCTTTAAACGCTTTGCAAACATATAAACGCGTATGAAAACTCATATATAATTATAATTTACAAATATATTTTTCTTATCATTTTTTATACTCACTATAATTCGTTTATAAATATCTTTATTAAAGGATGATGAGTTCCTCAGAATAGAAACAAAATCAAATATATGCTCCTCATAGCCTAAAAATTTACGAGCGAGTTTCGTAGAAGAAATTTTCCTGTTTGTCAAAAATCTGATTTCTTTCTCCTAAAAATAAAAATGTCAAATTTTCATCGAGATATATATTTTTTATAATCGTCACAAAGTATATACATACGATCGTAACGATTTATTTCACTCGTCCACTCGTGTCCTGCGCAGGCTTTATGGCGCGTTGCTTAGAGACGCGCGTGCAAGCATGGCATCTCCCTTCGGCTAAATATCCAAACAACGACGATTCAAACGTCGCCGCCAACCCGCAGCAACGCGAGATGGCAGTTGAGTAGCGTTCTACGGACACCAGGATGCCGCGCTGACGCATGCGCGGTGGGCGACGTCACGTGACGTACCGCGCCAATTCAGTCGGAACGCGCACGCGGCTGTGATTTGGCGCCAAAACGCGAGTGCGAGAGGTAGTGAGACTCTTTTTACGTCGTCGTCGTCTCCGTTATCGTCAACGTTATCGACGACGTGGACACGTCCAGGATACTCCTGGATATGAGGAAAAGGCAGTTGCGGAAAATATGCCGTTGTAAATTCATATCGAGGTATGTGCGCACTTTGTTTATGTAACCTAATGTAACCTTTTGTTGTCGCGTTAGCCATAGTCCAACAGTTTTAGAAATGAGAAAATGCCACGAAATAGATAATAAATATGAAATAGATTTTTCCAGGTATTTTGTTCAATGTCATTTTTTAATATAATTCTGACAGTACCAGTACATTTATCTATTTAATGTCTATTAAAATATTTTTTAATTGTTATATGTATAGTATATTAAATTCGAGATATTATATGCGTGTATATTCATTAAAATCTTCGTTAAAAGATTTGTTATATATATGCACATATTGTTTTATATAAAAGTGTCGCTTATAAATGCGCGTGCAAGCATAGCATAATTTTTTTACTAAATATCCAAGCAACAATTCTAATGTCGCCTTCGATTTCCACAGGAATACAAGATGGCAGATGAGTAGCGCGCGGTGGACACTGCTTTTGCCGCCTTTCGTTGTCGCGCATGCACAGTTGGTAACCGCGAGTCACGTGACCGATATCACGTGACCGCGCCAATTCAGTCCGAACGCGCGCGGTTGTGGTTCAGCGTTGAAACACGGGTGCGAGGAGGAGTGATTCTTTTCATATCACCGTCGGCTCCGTTTTCGTCAACGACGTCGTGGACACGTCCGGATGCGCTAGGATACGTCCAGGAAAAGGAGAGAAGGGCAGATGCAGGAAAGTTCGCCGTTGCGCCCGCAGCTTCGTCTCGAGGTTAGTATGCGCTTTACTCGTGGAGCTATAATTCTCGCATTATTTTTGTGCAACAATTTTAGGTGACAAAACACCATTAAATACATTTTCCCTGATATCTTCAATGTTATATTTTGATCCTTCTGAAAGTATTGTAATAGTAAATATAGAAGAAAGCGCGTGCAAGGCATCTTTTTTGGCTAAATATCCAAGCAACGATTCGAACGTCGCCTCAATTTCCACAGGAGCACAAGATGGCGAATGAGTAGCGGCGGATACTGGCTTTGCAGTCTTTCGTTTGGCGCGCTGCCGCATGCGCAGTGATAATCAACGACGTCACGTGACCGCGCCAATTCAGTCGGAACGCGCGCGGTTGTGATTTGGCGCTAAAAAACGCGAGTGTGAGAAATAGTGATTCCTTTTACATAATCGTTGTCTCCATTATCATCAACGTCGAGGACACGTTCAGGATACGCCAGGACACGTTCAGGAAAATGGGGAAGGCAGATGCAAAAAAGGTACGTTCGCATAGAGTTCGTCTCGAGGTATGTACATATGCACTTTGCTTGTGTAACCATTGTTAGGTTATCAAGCTGTTCTTCGTGCAAGAGTTTGAGTTTGATTTCTTAAATAAATAAATAAATAAATATTCCCCTGTCTTTATATCTGTTGCTATTCAATTTATATATAGATTCTAATGCTCTAGTGAATTTTTATATACTTGAATATTGATTTATTATATATTGAAATTATTATTCATAAAGTAAAAGTAATCTTTTATTACATATTATCTGAGCTAGTGATATTTTTCTAATAATATTTTTATTATATACAGAAATTTGATTTTACATTTCTATATACATATATATTATTTATAAATTTTATCATTTATAAATTTTTATTATATAAAAATAATTAGGATTGAGATCTTTTGTTTCGTCTAAAAAATTAAATTTGAAAATTCATATTTTTGTTTCTGTAATAATATGTTAAAAATTTATTTTGTGCTAAAAACAGATGAAAATTATAACTTTGATTCAGCACTAAATAATTTATTTAGTGTTTAAATGATTTAGAAAAAAGATTATTACACATATAATTTTATTTAACATCTCATTCTATTATTTTTTATTATCCTTAAAATATACTTATCATATTTTTTAAAAGAGAGAGAAACAAAAAAGAAGGGAGAAAGAACTTCACAATTTTATATTGTAAAGAAATATAATTATATTTAGATTATTATTTTTAAATAATGAAAGATTTTAGAATAAAAATATTTAGAATTAAATATTAAACAAAATTATATTTTACTAATTTATTTTCTCAAAAAAAAAATATTTTTTATGTACAATATATTATTGATATTTATTGTTGTACATGTATTATTGATATGTTTATATTGAATTTAAAACCAATTTAAAATCTTAATCTTATTAATTGAGATGAAAAAATTATATGAAAGTTTGAAAATCTTTTTGTATCTCCTGTTAGAGGTAAGTAATTGTTTGGCGACAACTCAATGCAGTCATCTGAAATACAGGTAATCTTTAATATTATAAATATTTTAATGCCATCACGTTATGGAGCGCGCTTCAAAGCTCCGTAGTACGTCTTGTGTCGACTTCGAAGTAAACACAGAAATAAACGTGCCAAATAGATCGGTGGCGAATGCATGTCGAAGAGAAGGCAGAAAGACGGAAACCGCGATGGAATATCACGTGTCCCCATGCGACTTCTCTATTCCTATGCAAGCGTGCAACGAAAATAGACACAGGAGGAAACGACGACCGGGGAGAGAGACTTTTTAGTGAGATGTATATTCTCGCGACGCGGAAACTTTGTTTTCAGATCTTGATATAAATCGTGAAATGCGCTTTAGAAAGATTGAAATTAATTTTTAATTTGGAGGCATTTTTAATACTTTTATTACAAATGTTTCTCTTAGTCAAAATTAATTAAAGATTAATTCTTTTAAAGTTCAAGTTTTTTTTTAAATAAAATTAGAGATAAACAGACTGAATTTAAATAATTTTAATTAGTATTTATTGAAATATCTTTGAAAAGATAAATCTTATTTTTTGTTACAATTATATTCTGTTAATACAAATATTTTCATACGAAAATTTTGTATTTCTTATGGGATTTATAAATAATAATACTGAGATAACTTGAAAATGAAAAGCTTTAGAATTTTTAGCATTTCGATGTAAAAGAAAATAGTTGAAAAGCTTTTATTTAAATCGTCTCGCTCAAATTATTGAAATTATGCCATTATTAATTACCATTATATAACAGATTTAACGTGATTTTATAATTAAAAGTCAAATAGTATCAAAACTGAAAAGCCTGTGACAGCTAACTTATTATTTTATCGCCACCGATCTAATATTGGTATCATTAATTAAAAAAATACATCTTTAAAATTTAAAAGCACTTAACACATTAAAGCTTTAGAGACTTTAAAAAGCTCTGACTGAGGTGTGAGAATACTTGTTTTAAATTGATTTTTTATTATGCTGTTTTAAATCTTTACGCTACATTTTATTTAAAAATGCATTTCTTAAACTGTAATAACGCGTAAAGGTTTTCTTAAAGATATATTTTATCTGATATTAATAATATTGGATAATTTAATAACTTGCTTTTGTTAAAATTTTATTTAACATACAAGACACATATACACTTTATTTCTTTAATTTATTCTCTGCTGATTTATAAACAAAAATTAATCATAGAATTAAACTGAAAAAATATGAAATTCGTATGTTATTTGACTCGAGCATTACACACACGCGATATTTTGCATTTTTTAAATTGTTGTATTTAGAAATTTAATAACAGTAATTTTTTCTAAATGCCTTTCAGTGTGTGAGCATTTAGAAAAAATAACCATTATATATAATTTTCAAATATGACTATTAAAGAAATACAAAATACTTATGTAATACTTATGTAATACATAATGTGATATATAGAGTTGATTACTGTCGATATTTCAAATAGTATAGCGTGTCAAATCTATCGTGTATAAATGTTTGTAATACGTGATTCATTTGCACGAATGTACAAGAAAGTTGAAAGATAAGTCTGCTATGAAATTAAAAGAGCGATTTTTTATGCAAAATTATGTTAAACGAGGCAGTCTTTACAATTTTTGAAAGTGGCATTATTTTAAAAAATAAAGTTATACATAAAATAATGTTTTATATAATGAATACAATAGAAAAACGTACATTGTTTTCCAAGTATTTTTTGGCGAAAGAATTTGATATTATATCCTTTTCTTTTTTCCTTTTCTTGATCTTTTGTAATTTAAATTTATTTAACATTAAACAATTTTTAATTTTATATAAAATAATAATTAATTTCTGTTATTTTTGAAACTTTATGAAGAAATCTTTTGAAGACTGTAAAAATGTATATCTGTTAACTATAACAATTCATTTCAAATATGTTTAAAGAACTATATAGAAAATTATCGGAAATGTAAAAATTACTTTGTGTATAGAAAAACTGCTTTGTATGGTAAAAGCATTCCAAAGGTATTCGAATTATCGAAACAACTTTTACAATTAAAATTGAATAATTCTTATAAAATAGTTTCCTAAGAATATGGGTAATTTTCGTGATTAGCAATTATACTTTCTTTATAAATCATTTACGATTTATAGTTATTACAAGTTTAATCGAAATGACAATAATGCATACCTCGTTCTTGCCGGATTATGTATGCCAGGATTGTTTTCATCCGACGAAAACGGCCCTTCATGAAAATAGACGACCTCCTCCTCTCATTTTCCCCTTCCATGCTCATTTCTCCCTCTAAAGCCGCGCAATGCATGTGCGTGCGGGAATGGGGATGATGCAGTTGGCCTGAATAAAGGTCGGTAGCCGATCTAGCCCTCCCAGCGCGAGCGGGTTGATCACCACCAGTTCTCCCTCTTTCTTTCTCTCTCTTTCCCTTTCTCTCTTCTCGCTGCTATGCCACCCA